CAGAAATAAGTATAACTGCTTTGGAAGTACCCATGTAAGATATGGAGAAGGATTTCACTTGATGTCTAGAGGGGCTTTTGTATAAGTTTGTCTTGTATCTCAGTGGGAACTATTTGAACATATTCCTTTGTAAGACGAAATCATTGAATTTACAAAATGTGTCTGCTTCTGATTGCCACATTTTCCTTTGCCTTTTTCGTACAATCCATTGCTGCTTTTAGATCATCATAATGTTACAAAAGTTGGGTGCCTCCCCCTCTTTCTGCTGAGCAGTAGCAAGAGTCCATGGGGTTCCAGGCACTCCCCTGGGGTCTGTGTTCCTTTGGAGAACTGAGACACTGTCGTAGATTTAAGAAATATAGTATATTCATTTATTTACACCTGCATGGAGGGAGTCCAGAACTTACAGCATAGTCATTTCATGAGAGTCTTGTCCTCCCTCAGCAGTGCAGCCAGCCTTCAGCCAGCCTGCCAAAGATGGATTCTTCCTCCTTCTTCTCAGAACACCCTACTAAAAACTATCTTTTCCTCTAAACCCAGTTACACTGGCAACCTTCTAAACCCCCAGTCTCTGTTCACACCTCAGGGCAAGGAGGGAGGATAGTTCTCTTGCATTGCCAATGGATCTCAGTGACCCTGTATTGTCTCTTAATGGCCCTAGCTTGGCCAGGTCATTTTGCATAGGCTAGCTCAGGAATTCCTCTGCAGATTGTATCTCTCCCTTCACATCCCAAATAATAAAAATATTACCATTTATTAATTTCTGGGGTTCAGGAGGGTCCCTCCGAAATCTATAACACCATCACCCCTTCAGCAAAAGGGACTGCTTTCCACAGCTATGCAAGAAATAAAAGAAAAGTTACTAACAGTATTCAGAACACAACATCAAAGTAGATCATAGAAACATGACACATTTAAAAACACAATAACAGCTCCTCTTCAAGCAATCTCCAGCTTCCCTGGAATCCTCCAGGCTTTCTCTTTCCTCTTGGGGTACACTCTGGTCACAGTTCTGCATCCCAATGCAGCTTACCCAATCGCCCACACTTGGCAGCGAAGATGATGGGTTTCCCTGATATATTTAAGCCAGGATGCCAGTTGTCTCATCCAAAGGCCCTTCTTTATCGCTATTATCATTACTCATCAGAACAAGCTGTAGGGTTGCCATATGTCCTCTCTTTCCTGGACACATCCTCTTTTTCAATATTAAAATGATCCCAGCCTCGCAAAGCTGCACAGGGCTCTGATCAGATCCTCCCGCCCCCAGCTTGCACAGGGTGGTGCGAGGACACCATGCACCCTTCAGTCCCAGCCCCTCAAGGGTGAAGTTGGGATTGAAGGGCACCTGACATCCTTCATGGTGCATGGCAACCCTCCCTGAGCTGCTTTGTGAGGCTGGGATCTGATCAATTCTGTGTCACATTCACTTTTGCCTCTGGCCCCACCCATCACTGGCATGCAGCCCATGGAAATTTGCCTAGAAGGGGATATGGCCATTGGAATAAAGAAAGTTCCCCACCCCTGATAGAGATAAATACATTGAGACAAATAAGAAAAGTTCAGTGGAGCCAAAGACCTGAAATACATAGAGTGGCAGTAGGTCTGCATCATGGGAATACATGGCCCCAATGAATTCAAGAGAGCAAAAAAGTGGTCCATTCACAATTGTTGCCACTGATTATCAAAACTTACTAGCTATGTTGATTCAACACTGGTAAAAGAAACACAAAGTGCCAATTAAGTCCCAAACTGAATTAAATTCACTGATTGAATAGTTCAGCTATTTCATGCTGGAACCTTCTTTGAACTCTTGCTGTTGAAAAGTGGTGGCTTCTAGATTAACAGTAGAGAAATGTTTTCCTACTGGTGTCAGAATATTGCCACTTCTTATGCCAAGCTTTACATTTTTCCTCTTGCTTGGCCTGTTTGTCCCATGTAGACAGGAGAAGGGCAGTGTTGTCAAGGGATGGTTTATATCAAGCTGGAGGATGTGCAGATGAGTGAGCCACTGATGCTGTGGTTGCTGGTTTTGAGTTCTGTAGCTGAGTAGATTATGTGGGCATAGTTGGCATTTGCTTGTTGCAGGGTCTATATCACAGGTTTAACTATCTGCAAGGTGATTAATCATCTAGCAATTTTAGATTAGAGTGTTCTTCCTTGCTGAATCTTACAGCCTGCAGAGACTTCTTTTGGTTAAAAAAAAAAGTGCCAGAATAAAGATACATGCACCTGCTTGTAGTTTGGCCCTCCCGCTACTGGTTCCCTGGAATTTGTGGATATTCGGTAAGTTATGACACTCATTTAATATGTTAGTGCATAGCCAATGGCTAGGAATGATGGGAGTTATAGACCAATAACATCTGGAGGACCGTAAGTGTTAATATTATAGTAGTTTGCCAGAAAGCTTATACATATATACATATATATTCCAAGGTGGAAGTCACTTTACCATTCTTCATTTAAGCTTGCAGGTTTTCTTCTCTGTAGCTAATAGCAGCTCCAGGGGGTGTGATCTGAACCAGGCTGCAGCAGCAGTTATCTCCCACCCCTCAGACCACAGACTAAGGGTTCTGCAATTGTTTTTACAAAAAGAAAATTAATGTCAGAAGCACCAAAATTATTGCTCCAGTATCACATGTAGTTTGGCCCACATTGGCCCTGTTTATTTATTTTTAAAATAGTCCTCAAGTGCATTATAGGAATGATGAAAGAAAGTTCAAATTTAAAAAATAAAGTTTTAGAAAGAAATGTTGAGCTGGATGCAAAACAGGATCCTTTGGCATTGTTGTATCCAGGAAAGATTATCATCCATCTCTTTGAGATCAAATTCCTTTGGAACAGGATGAGTGTTTATTTTGTCACATAAGTGAATGATACTGAATAATTCCTGAAGAACAGATTCTTTGCAAACTGTGAGCTTTATCACTTTGTCACCGTAAGCTTTCAGTAGCATCTGTTGTGGTTGGGCTTGATCAGGCCCACGTCTCTCCCATATAAGCTTTTTGTGCCGGGGGGGGGGGGGAGGTTGGTTTGTTTAGTTGAAGGCTGCCCACAGTGGCCTTTGGAAATACTCCTGTAGCTTCATTCTTCCCTTAGGTTTTCCATCTGAGGCTGGCTCTAGCATGCAGTTTTGACAGGCTCACCACTGCCTTTTGGTCCTTGCCCAGCTGGGAAGCTCTAATCTGCTGCCAATAATACAATAAATGCCATCGGTTTTTCATACGTATGTGTGTTAGTGCCCACTAAGCAAGAAGCACTTATAGGACTATAAAAGTGTTGTTAAACAGATCAAGAAATGAACATTTCTGAAGCTTAAATGCATTCCTGAACCAAGTTGTTTAAGCAGAGTTGCTTGTGTGGTGTGATACTGAGGACAACTAAATAAACACAAAAAATTCAGCTGTTGCCCCAGCAACAAAAACGTTCAGTGTGGTCAATACATTGTATAGTTGGAACTGGAGCAGACATTTTTTGTTAAGGTGTTCCAAGATATTTCTATTAGAAATCCCTATTTTTAGTGGCTCATAACTTTCCCTTAGTTCATGCTGGAATATCCTGGACCATGGAGCTTATCTCAATCACTACTAAAAATGAAGAGAGGGGGGTTTCTTTATTGTCTCCATTCTTTGGATTCTAGATTTGCAACGTGGTAGGGTCAGCATGTCCCTTTTACATCAGCCGTACTGGCTTTTGCAGCATGTGTGAAATTCTGCCCAGGGTCAGCCAAGTTACAGTCCTCTGAAAGACAGGGGTTAGTACGTGTTCAGCAGAGAGGGTTATTCAGTAAAGTTCCATTCCACTAAGACTGTTTTCATCTTAGAGGAGACACAATTATTCTTTCCCTCTGCCCCTCAACCCTGGCAGTGGTTCCTTCAGTCCACCAGGGGCTACCTGATTATGAAAACTGTTTTCTGTAATCTTACTCATACTGCAGAAGACAAAGAGCTTTCACAGCAATAATAAAAAAACTGGGTTTCTGGTACTAAATAAAAAGCAGTGTGTGCCAGTCAGGACTGCATAGGGGCATATAGACTCATTAGCCTGGAAAAAAAGGAAGCTACCAAAGGAAAGAGACATGGGAAAGTTGAAGGTTGAAAAGGAAGATCATTATCACTATCATTATCATTTATTCCCATCAGATGTCAAGGAGATAAATAACTACAACCTTCAGAAGACATCTGAAGGCAACCTTGTATAGGGAAGTTTTTAATGTCTGGTGTTTTATTTTGTTTTTATGTCCTTTGGAAGCTGCTCAGAGTGGTTGGTTCAACCCAGCCAGATGGACAGGGTATAAATAACGACGTTTTTTGCTAAAAAAATATAGTAAAAAATTGGGGGTTGTCTTATACATGGATGGTGAATGCACAGGGGTTTGAGCTCTGGCGCAGGTGGCCTGGGCTTGGGTTCAGACTCTGATGCAGGTGACCTAGGTGGCCCAGGCTAAGCCTCTTGAAATATGGCAATCCAAACTTTGGGCCACCTGCCACCAGAATTATTCTGTTTGATGTTTAAAATACTGATTTCTTAATTTTGTGTTAAAATAAAATAGGGGTTGTCTTATACATGGGAGCATCTTATACACACAAAAATACAGTAATAACATTATTATTATCATCATTATTAATAAAATGTCTGTGCTGAGGTCACACATGGGGTGTTCTGTAGTGCTAATGAACTGAATTATCATAATCCATTCAGGTGAGCAGCAGCTTCTTTGATTCCTTTTCTTTAGTGAAGTTTGTATGTTGGCCATCTGATGACTGCAGAATTAAGGGTTCGTTCCTACCCATCTTTAGCAAATGCCTGCTCCTACTCCACTGAAGATCATTTCATTGAAATGTGGTTTTCTTGCAAAGTGTCCTGTGGCAACATGAAACTCAGTCAATACAGCTTTATTCTCCGACAATTTTGGCTTTGACATGTCAGAGCAAACCAGCTGTCTGCTTGTTTGCCAACCAACTTTCCAGAAATCAGACCAAGTGATGGACAAGAGACAGAAGTACTTTTCACAACAGAGTAGTTTTATATTGATGGCTGGTTTTCTGTTTCTGCTGCCACCATTCATGCTAAATTCTGAATGCTACCCATAGAGTAAAACTAGCCCATTACTACCATTTATATGTAGTAAAAAGCTTTCAAATTCAGGGTTGTACAAAGTACCTACGTTTCTAGAAGTTGTAGAATTCTAATGGGGACATTTTAAGTTCTTTAGTGGTGCCACAGAATCATGAGGACTGGGAGACAATATCTATTTGGACAGCATTTAAAATATTTCAACTGTTCACATTTTCCAATCAAGTGTCTTATGATGAAAAAAGCCATCTGTGTTCCTGTAACGTAGACGAAAAGATGTCCAACATGAGCACCATAGCCAGCAGACGGATTGTTTTGGAACATGTGCTTCAATAATTTTTCCCAGAGAATGTTTTAACGTAATACAGAGCAGAAATTGTGTATGTTCCCAGCATCTGATAGCTCTTAAATGTAGAAAAGTGTTAAAGAATTGTCCTCATTCCTAAAACCTCACCATTAAGTTTCTAGCAGCTTTCCGTGTTCCTCAGTAATGGATTTTGGTCTGATACTAACCTGCTTTGCATTTTTGCTGTATGCATTTCAATACGATCAGTGTCATTTTAAGAAACCAAACACATTAGTGGATACAGTACATATAAGACTCACTTCACACAAGTTATTTTCTTGCACAGAAATAATGTCAGTGATGAAGTTAAAATTGATTTACTAACTGCTGTATATTTTTAGAAAGAAGTATTACCGGTAATTTAGGTGCAAAAACATGACTCTGGAAGCCAGAATCACAATCCATGTCCTTGTGATTAGAATTAAAACCCAACACACGCTAAACAAAAGACAGTGTACACTCTCCACACACCCCTCCCTTTGTAGAGATTATCTCACCATAGGTAAAGCATTATCTGTGAAGCATTCCATAGTCTGGACTGTTGTGTGTTAGGTCTTTGCACTGTTTGACCCTTGAACTTCCAATACAGTCTCTGGGAAGAATCATGGAGGACAGAAGAAAATGGCCAATCATTACATACACTGTAGTGTTTATTTGAGAGGTGAAGGACTAGGTCAAGCAGGTCATGTTCTTTTCAAGGCAGTAGGCAGTGCTCCAGCCATAAATAGATCCTTTTGTTTCTTCAATTTCTTCAGGCTAAACTCCGTGAAACCACATCACTGTTGAGGCCCCATAATACTTCCCGACAAGAGCATTCTCGTTTCCATTACCCCACTGTGAATGCAGAAGAGCAACTCCCTTAAGTCAGAGGAATTACATTACCGTAATGAGGTGGAAATTGGCCCAGTCATGCTCAATATGTCTGACCCTGGAACGAGCTTGCAATGAGCGCACTTTGTTAGATCTGGAGTACATGCAAAATAAGAGTTAAAAAGAAGAAAAATGAAAAGAGAGAATAAGCAAAGATGTTTGTACATTTATATTCCTTTGGCCAGTCAGGCTACTATACTGGTGACGCAATCCGGATGGAACTTCCTTCATTTTGGATTCAAAGGAAAACATCGTTTTCCACGTAAACAATTAGTCTGACATTTAGTTATGCAGTTTGTGTTAGATGTAACCTTGGATACTAGTAAATAGCTTTGTTGTGGATGTTTTAGTAGCAAGTCATTTACTGCAAGCCAGAAGTGCCTAATTGTCATGCCTGTTCTTAATTTTGGTCTTATGGCTTTCATAGCTTATTTTCTGGTAGTCATTAAAGAGACAGGAATGAAACGTCCATCAGAACCCTTCCTCCCATCTCTGGCGCTGACAGTGGTACAACTTCAGTAGTTTCCTAATCTTAACAGATGCCCATTTGATTTATTTCTCTGTGTTTGGGGGTTTGGAATATTGTTTTTATCTGCTCACAAATTTATTGACAAATTTCATTTGTCTGCTTTAAGCCCAGGTGAAGAAAGCTTCACGCTGCAACTGATGGCAGTGCCACCACCAGCGGTAGTCACTTAGCATTACTGAAGACTTAAAATCCTTCACCAGACATAAAAACTCAGAACCCTCTTTTGCACTCCACCCTTGGTGGCAAACTTAGTTCCTCCTGGTTTTCTCACTCCCCTCCCCTTGGTGACTGAACCTATATCTTCTCTAAGCCAAGGGCTGTCAACATGGCAATGACAGGCACCAGTTTGCCTACCCAAAAAAGGTCTCAGTAAATACCCCTTCAAAAATCCACGAAGCATGAGAGACTGTTTCATTTTCTTTCTCAAATTCTGTTTGTACTGGTCCAGCCACTCCTAATTTGAACATGACCCCTTAAATATGCCCAGATTTCATTGGACTGGAACCCTCCCTCCCTGCTGTTCTGAATAGAGAGGTGAAAATTGCTTTTATTTGTGAGCAAGTATGGCAGTGGTGGATATAGGTGCTTTCTCCAAGTCTGTGCCTGTGGAGTAATTACAGCAACAGTGAGACCATGCCCCCCCTGCCCCCGCTTATGTACCCTCATCTGATGGGGTATGTGCAACCTGAGGCGGCTCCTACATAAAAGGTATCACTGCTGTTCCCTCTTCAAACCCCTGCTGGTACTAGGAAACAGTGGGGTGGGGAATGACAAGGAGTCTGTTGGCCCATCCCTTGCCTGAACAATCTCTTCCTCCTCTCCCGACACATCCTGTGTGCCTCCCTCTGTCTCAGATCACTCTGACCCTTCTTCCTCCATTTGGCCTGGCTTCTACCTTATGGGCGGTGCCAAACCCCATAAATCACTGGATCCCTCTCCTGGTGCCAAACCCAATAAACTCCTATGGCCCCCTGCCTCCACCACACACTGCCAGTCGCCGCCACATAGTGCGTAGTAAAACCATGGGATTCACTTTGAGAGGTAATGATGGCTACCAACTTGGATGGTGTTGAAAGCTAGTTAGACATATCCATGGAAGATAAAGCTATCAAGGGCTACTAGCTACAATGAGTATTTTCTGCCTCCATTGTTGAAGGCAATCTGCCTTTGAATACCAGTTACAGGGAATCTTATGTGGGAGAATGATGTTGTGTTTGAGTCCTGCTTGATGGTCAAAAATTCTTAAAATTTGCATTCGTACATGCAATTAATGAACATTAATATGAATGCTGTATATTAATTGGAGATTGTAAGCCACACTGATACAACTGCTAAGCTATTATACCTCTTGTTACATCATGCTAGAGCTCAATTGCAGCCAAAATGAAGCTGCTTTTAAATATAAATGAAGGTACCATTTTTCTTTTAAATGTATGTGACATGTGGGATGCTATTGTGATACTTGTCTAGTTGTTTGCCACATAAATGTCCACTTGTTTGAGCAGTAAGGCACTTTCCAGTGTTTGGTAGAAGAACATAGCAGATGAAGTTTGGGCAACATATTTAAGAGGATATATTTAAAGCTGGTCAAGGCTAAACTGAGGCACAATAACAGGCTGTTTCATTTTGTCATTTTTTCCCTGGACAAAGTAAATTTTCCTATGGGAGCAAAACCATGAAGGACATTGACATTAGGAAGGAAATGCTTTCTGTAAACTAACAATGATTTATCTCTTTGGGGAATTTATAATGAAATAGCTTGATCTTTATTTAATGATGTCATCCACTTTTTAAAGCCTTAGGTCTTTGTATTTATTTGAAATTAAAGATTTGAGAAGAATCACACTTCAGATTTCAGCATGTATAGGAGCACTTCGCATATCACAAAGGGACTTCTTCTGTACAGGTACAGGGTGTCTCCATTCTTCAGGAATTACCTGCAATACATATTTCTATAAAAATAAAACATATAACGTTATATACAATAGAGATACGTGCTGAAAAAATGTAACAGAACTAGCAGCCCTCAGAAACCAGAGTGGATAGGTGGCCAACTTAATGCTGTGATATATATGAAGAAAGTAGAGATATGGAGGGGAGAAATGTTTCTAAGTTACTGAGCCTAGTTTGGTGTTTGCTATCATTTGTAACTGATTTATTACCCAGTGTGCCTTCTTTCATATGCTGTACCATAAGATTCTTTAAAGAGGGCAGAATGGAACTCAAATGTTTATTTCTTACATTTATACCCCTCAGTTCTGCAATCATGGAATCCAAGGTAACATACCTATGGCCCCCAGGAGTTCTCCATTCAGGCACTGACTAAACCCAGACTGGCTTAGCATCAGCAAAGGTGGTAGCTTCCTGTGCCTTCAGAGCACACACTGGGACTTTTAGAATGAAATAGCAGTCCTAGGGGACAATTTCCAAAGGGAAAATTGGGGTGGGAGGAGAAGCACCATAGTCCTGATCCAGATTACGAGCCCTATGCCTGCTTTTTATAAATAAAGAAATGTGACCATTTCTAAACTTCCTAATTAAAAATGCATTTAATGTAATTTGTCACTCAAGCAGAGATGACTGTCTGTGGCAGTCTAAAATGTATCTTCCTGGCTCCCTGTTCTTTTCATTGGTCATCTCTTTGCATCTTCTTTCACAGAACTGCCTAGTTAGAGTCAAAACAGGGATTTGATTTGATTTTTTTAAAAAACACCAAACATGTTCCTTTTATTTGTCTCTCTTTGGTGCCTGCAACACAGCAGCTGTAACTTGCAGGCTTTCCACATATTGTACATTTTAATAGACTTTAGTGGGCATTTAGCAAAACACTGAAACAAGGAAAACTATGATTTTGCAATAGCCAGAGCTAAAGGCTTAACCCTTTTTACAACATGCTTATATTTTTCTTCTGTTTGACAGATTTCTTCTCTGATTTTCTTAAGCGTCTGTTTTGTGCCTGGTTCTTAACCAGGCCCAGAGTTATGGTTACATTAGCAATTAAGTAGGTAAGTATCTGGCCAAATTTCACATAGGCTATGTAGACCTTTACCCAACTTAGCATCAATAACACTTTTATGCACCAAACCCAAAAGTTTCTTTAAAAACTTAAAATGTCTTCTGCTTGTTACTCAGTTCAAACTATGAGATTTGTGGCTCCCCATTCAGTCATTTCATCAGCTTGAGATCTATCAGCTCCTGTTTCGTTTTATTAGGGCAAAATTAGTGAACTAAAAGTTTACACTCTGGAGGCTTAATGTGCTAATAAAGGATTGCATAAGTTACCATTTGTTTATAGCACTTGAATGATTATTCATGGAAAAATTATGCAAAGGAAAAAACAGTGAGATCCTTGGGGATATTAAAGCTACGTGGTCAACTTTTCCGAATGTTCCTGCCACAGCTTTCTAAACAGCACTCGTCAGCTTCTGCTGGGCTTTTCTCAAGTTCCCCAAACAGTTTGTAATAATGTTTTAATACCTTCTGTATGTTATTTCAGTGTATATGTCAGTGTCATCTTGACAATAATGTAAAGAAGTAATGAAAACCAAGCATGTGTGTTCCTGTGCCAAGTGATTGGAAAATCATGCTAGACATCATTTGTTTCATTGGGAGGTATATGAACATTAATAGTATGCACAAGAAGTGGATAGGGTGGGGAACTAATAAACAGGAGGGGTATTTGGTAGCAGTTGACATCATTTAGTGGGAACAAGCAGCCAAAATTACTTGCTCTCACGTGTATTTAAAAGCTGGAACTTCTGTCAATAAGACCAGTAACTCTGAAAAGGAGCTACAGAGATTAGTGTGAATACAGAGATTACACAATGTAGCAAATAAATTTTATTTCTCAACTGAGTGGTCTGCTGCGGTGGTTGAGCAACAGATTTCGGTAAACCCAGAACAGGGTTAACTTCTCAAAAGATCTTTTTTTTTAAAAAAAAAAGCATTTTGATTTATAAGAAAAAGAACAACCAAAGTGTTTCAATTGGATTATGAGTAAAGCAACAAATCATACCACCTAATCCCTTATACAATAGAAAGGGTTTGACTGTGCAACTAGTTGTTTACTTTGGGTAAGCACTGAGTTTCCACTGGTTTAGTCACCAGCTGATCTATGTTGAAAACTTAAGGGCCATGATTCAGGTGCCACGGGAAGCTCATTGTTTTAACTGCATTGTTTTGAATAATGCAGTTGTAGGCTGAGCTTGTCTGTGTTCAGCTGCCTCCTCCATCTCTTTGCCTCCTGCCATCAAATCAAGTCATAGGGTTGACTTCCATTGATTTCTGCACAAAAACAGGATGCTGCACTGGCTTTGCATGCAGGGGTAATGAGCAGATGTTAGTTAACCAGTTATTGGCCTCAGGATACTGTAGTGGAACTGATACTGCTTTCGGTGATGTATTATTGTCAATAACGGGGAGCAATGGCACTCTGTTGCCTTTGGGGCTTGGCTTTCTGTGAATAGTTGTTTGTTTGTTTTGCTTTTATTCTGTGTTTTCTGAATTGTATAGCATCAATACCACTCAAATGTTTAACATATTTTATACTTTCCTCTGTGGCAGTGGAATAAAAATACCAAAAAAAATGGACCTGATCGCTGCCTTCATTTGTAGAAAATTAGCAACGTAACTGTTTATGGGTATGCATTGCATGCTGCACTGGTAACATAGATTCAGATCACAATAGCACCTGAAGGTCTCCTTCAATCTTTCACTCTTGTTTATGCACATGGGATGTAAACAATACTTTCAGACACCTGGTCATCAATCTTATGTAAGAGATAGGGATCATGTTGAAGTGTGTTCTCAGATTTTGGTTGAGGAAATGCTCTCCTTTATTAAAGTGTGACTAGTAAAATCCTGGTGAAACCAAGTGCTACATTTAGAAAATGTACCACAACTTTGTCCCAGAACTCATCTTTTGATAAATTCTCTTCACTCTACTCACTAGCCCCATATCTCCCACCATGACAGGCTTCAGAATGGATTCCTAATCTCTTACCTGACAGTCTGCTACAATGGTATCAACAAGACTGAAGTAGAATGTCTAAGGGCTTATATTGCAGGACTGAACCAATGGAACTTTGAGAAGCAGCAGTTAGTACACAAAATTCTACACACACACACACACACACACACACACACACACGGCAGTGTTTCTCATGCAACAACTTCTAGTGTGTGGTTCTGGTTACACCCCTGGACAAGAAATGAGCAGAGCTGCATTTTTGGAAAATGTTCTTGACCTTTTAATATAAGGCCTTCTCAGAAACTGCATAATGCCAAAGTGACTCACCCTTCTAGAGTGCTGAGTGCTTCAAACCCTTATTGATCCACCAGGGCAGACATGCAAGAAGCTGCTTCAGTCACGTGTATGTGTGTGTGAGTGAAAGACAGAGAACAAGAACACATAAAATACACTTTCTTTTTCTGCAGTGACTGTAGCATAGTAATGTCCAAGAGGTTTCATTCCATCTCCACTTTAGATCCTTAAACTAGTTTTGTATCCTCCTTTCCAAAACAGGCCTTTCATTCTTCTGCTTATATTTTGTGTCAAATATAAGGCCTGGAGATGTGAAGGTTTGCTTAGTTTGCTTTCACCAATGGCACAGCTAAAATCTAGGACTTTGAGAAATAAAAAGAAAATAAAAGTATGTTTCCACGAGAAATCTATGCCTTCTATATTTCTGTAACTCCAGGCTGGAGACTGGGCATAGAATATAAGTATGGTATAGTACCCTACTTTCACTAGGTGGCATCCAACATCTGTCAGTACATTCTTTATTCTGTGGGAAAGAGTTGCTGCTCTTTTGTTCACTGTAGTCAATGCCATGAATCCCAGAGTTCAAACTTTTTTTTAAGGAAACATGCTTGCCCAACTTCCCTGCTTCATGCATGGCTTACCTGCCATTAGCGTATCTGAACCAAGTTTTCACCAGATGCAGAGTAATGTTAGTTTTAGATTAAGGTTCAAATATATTTACTCTGATGCACTTCATCACTGCCGAAATTGAAACCCACCAATGTGATTTTGGGCCACTTAAAGCATTCAAAAATTCCTACTCAGAAAGCACTTTCATATAGCAAGAGCATCAAACCCATATTTATATTTGTCACATGTTGATTCCATGCATGCCTGTTCCACATGTACAGGCTTTGGTCAGCCAGAGTGAATCCCATCTTCTCAGTGTATATAAACCTAGTTGTATAGATGCAAGTGATCACTGCACTATGTCCAGGTTTCACCCTTTTTCATATATGTACTGTTTTCACTGTAGGATATGCAGAAGACTTGAAGCAGTCCTTACCCCTCTCCTCTCAGCTGCCTAAATCCTAAAGCCCCTATAGAAACCAGTCCTTTCATGGAGCTTTTTAGCAGAGTCTGAAATGTCAATAATATGTAGGAGCTGAACTCTCTTTCCATTCCTTGGACATTATAGCTTTAGGACCTGTTGTCTCAGCTGAAACAATCTTGTTTCCATCTGGTAGCAATTCTTCAGCCACCTATAGCTAATTCTGTTTCTCCCTCTCTCTCTCTCTCTCTCTCTCTCTCTCTCTTTCTCTCACTCACTCATTCTCTCTCTCTGTGAGAGAGAGAGAGAGAGAATTATCTTCAGCCAACTTGAGGAAACCACTTAAAAACTTGATAACTCTGTTCCATCTCTGTTGCTTTGCGTGTGTGCTAGCTAAAAATGTGTAGCTTGTTGGCACAAAGACCTTCTCAAAGTTCCAGAGCTGACATCTGTCTGGCTGTGATTTACATGGAACATCCTTGCGTTTCCCATAGATACTCATGCTACAAGTCAATACTAACAAACTGTTTACAGACGGGTAGGGTTACAAACCAAACTCAAAGCATATGTTTTTGTTAGAAATTGAAGATTACGCCTGACGTATTGTTCTGGCTATGTATGTTATGCTTTTGACAAGTCTCATTAAAGTAATAGAAAAGCCAGTATTTTTTGTGTGGGACTTGGTCTCAAAACTATTCTTGCACATAATTTTGATGACAAATTGCTATTTTTGTTTAATTGGATAGATTCTTAATAGGAATGGATGGTGTAATTCCAGCAGGCCAGAAGCAGTGTTTGGGGAAGCACCTGCCATTTGAGGTCAATGACAATCGTCTTTAAGCAGATGCCACTTTCCTTCCTTTACCCCCCACATAATTTCCATCTGTCTCTACAGGGTCATTCAGCTCTTCCAAAAGCAAATAACATGACACCTAGCAATGTCTTTCCTCAGCATCAGTTTAGCATTAATTGGTGTCTATTTTGTAGGTCCGTCAGAGGTGTCAGCAGCTATGAGGTTCAGCAGGAGACCAACTTGTCCTGATGCCTCGGTGGCAGCCAGCCTGCCAACTCCTCCTGTACCACGACACAGGAAGAGTCACAGCCTGGGAAACAAGTGGGTGTTCCAATCTGCATCATCTTTCTCAGCTCTTACAGTTTACTCAGACATCATTAAGGTTTAATTCAGCAATTGAAAACTCACTGAGAGCAGAAATATTCTTCCCAGTGGTCCCACTCCCCTTTTCTAATTTCACAGGAGTGACACTCATTACTAGTAAAACATCTACCTCAGAACCTCCTTGTCTTATCTTGCAAGTGCTGGACTTTCTGCCTTTTTAGACAAATTCTAGTGCCATTCTTACCCCCAACCTCTGTGGGAGTTGGTATATCACCAGATATACCATTTTTTTTTGTTTAGTTCCCAATTTACAGGCCAAATAAATTGTGCCTCTGCCTCACCTAGGCTTTCTGAAATAAGTTTTACCGATAGATATGGGAAGTTTCAACACAGTGGGAAGCATCAGCTTTTCAGATAAGATTTCCAGCATTCTACTTATTCTACCACTGTTAGGAATCTTTGAATTAATACTTATTACTTGCCCAGCATCATCTCATTAAATTTGCTTGGATAGGAATTCAGGACTATTGAATCTCATGGCCTGCAACACTGTAACCAAGCAACTTTTGTAGAAATGTTGGAGGAAGAACTTGAAAACTCCCAGATCCCCATCCTATGTTAAGGCAATAACCACTTAATTATACAGGCTGCTTGACCTCACTTCTTAAATAGATTATCAGGCAGCCAATGAGGAGCGTATTAAAGGTCCCATTAGCTACCTTCCACTTAAGGACTTGCAGACATTTATGATCATCATACAGTGAGATGATGTCCATGTGGAAAAAAAAGCAGGGAATAAATGGATGTTATCAGATTACATAAGAACATTTTGCTTTTTCCCTCCCCTTTTCCAATTTTCCAGTATGATGTGTCAGTTCAGTGTAGTTGAAAGTAAAAGCGCAACGTTCCCAACAGAGAAACCACGCCACCTGCTGGATGACAGTGTGCTAGAGTCCCACAGTCCTGTCAGAAACAACACATTAAACTCTGTTTTCACCAATGGTATTTCCATAGGTAAGTATTCAATGGTTTGGATACAAAAGTCTCACTGATTCTCTGCCTGCTTTGAAGCTCAGAGAGGCTCCTAGAAATGCAGAATCAGGAGAAAATAAATTAATTTCAGGACTAACAATAATTGGTCATTTGGATAGAAACATTTTAAAAGTAGTGAAGATCTGCTTTTTGCTTGCCTAGAAACCTCACATGACTCACCTCTCTCTTGTTTGTCTCTGTCTTCCTATCAAGAAGTAACTTGCTAGATTGTGGCAGCTGTGTCATAGGGAGTACTCAGTTCTTTTTCAGTATTGTTCTTTTTCTGTGAGTTGTGGCAGCACTTCTGTAAAATAGAGCAATGCTACTGAAGCCAGGAGAGCACAAGCTACTTGTAGGAATGGTCTCAGTAGGAAGTGGAAAGGTGTTTCACAAAGCTTAGCATAAAGCTTAACTTTGGCTGCAGATAAAAGGCATTATCAGCTGTTAGGAAAGAAACAGCTATTTTGAGGGGTGTTTAATGGCCAGCACCTTGCAGTGTGGATTTTAGTGGAGTAAAAACTCCTCTGATTTAGAGACTGAGGGAAATTTGTCTGATTTAGAGGCTGGTTCCCAGGGCATGAATTTCCGTTTGCAAGAACCTACTTTGTTGGATGCATGTGCTTATCACTTAATAACCTGAATGTGAAAAAGTGCCATTGTCATCTATTGCCTGATCAGCCATCACAGTTCATTGTCATGTTGTACAGTTCCTTTGCAGTGGAAACCAACCTGGGATTTGGGAATCTTATGTTGCTGTGGTGGCTGCTGCTTTACTGAGCACCTGAACAAAAGAAAATCCAAACAGTCCAAGTTTGGAAAAGCAAATGAATTGGTTACACTGGTAACTTTAAGTTGCCTTTGAGTAAATGTGATGGGAAATTACTGGTTTAAAAAGCTCTGATTGAGTAATAAGAGGGTGAGGAGAAGTAAGGCATCAGGCTGATTTGTCATGGCACCGTCACCTGCTTTATGTTACCTGTCCTGTGTCTTGACTAAAGGGAAATCAGTCATATTTTTGGTGTCTGTGCTTTCTCTTTGGCTGGTATGATTATGTTTAATCACTGATGTAGCAGTGTTAATCAGAAGGTACTATACAACATGCAGCTGTGTGAAGATAATAAAAACGGAAGGACAATTTTAAAATATTTTATACCTAGAAAACTGCAGTGCTACATTGGTCAGGGTAACATTTCCCCCAGGAGCAATTTCTTACATCACTTTCACTCTGGCCTCTTAAGTCTGGCTTCTGTGGTGTATTCTGGAAGTTTCCTAAGGCAAGTGGACTTCTTCTGCATAACAGATCCCTATGTCCTTTTGTTTTGTAGGAAGCAGTGAAAGCTCAGAATTTAGTGAGGAGCCTTCTTCAGGACTTGAAAGGTGAGTGTCCTCTTTGCCAATAAATAACCTTCAATCAATGGTATAAGATGTTAGTTGCACTGCAGTTTATATGTATTGAAACCATGTTTCAGTTTACTTCAAGGAACTAATCAGGTCCTGCAGGGTAATTGTGGGGGGAAATATTGCCATAAATGCAGCCATTCTGAGGTTGTGTGGAAGCTCTGTCACTCCAAATATTCACTGTGTGTATGCCCTATATTTTGTGCTTCCTACACTACATTTAGCTCTTATTATCCCATCAAGCTATAAAACAAACATTTTTCAAACCTACCTTAATAAGAAAACATGACATCTAACTTGTCAATATTGGGCTTTTGTCATAAACCAGAGTCCACATACCCTATCTGCTTATAACACCTTCTTAGAAAGCCACAAATTCAGCCGCATTTTCATTAAGCAAATCATGTTCAACTATGTTGAATAGCTAATTCCTCATAAGAAATTAAGCCAAATACATCTGCCTTTGTCTAGCACATGATATCAGAGGTGAAATCTGGTCCAGTTCAGACTTGATAGGCCTTAGTTCAAATGGACTGAGTGGCCTTGAGAAGTCCCACAATTTTATTTACTAAGCTACAAAATTTTCCAACAAAAGAGCTTTGAGATAAATAAGAGCAAAATTGTTGAGTCCTTTCCACACTGGAAAAAGGTGTAGTAAAATGATGTGTTAGAAATTATTCAGGAAAATGTCTCTCTTATAATGATCCTTCTTTTGCTGATTTGATCCTTCCAAACAAGATTTGGAAGGTCACCAGTAAAGTGTACAATGTCCAGATTCTGGTACCTCATCTTGCCAGTCACCCTTAGGAATGGGCCTCCCTCCCGCCTGCACACAGTGGCAGGAGCATACCTCCATCAATACTTTCACTGACACCTGCTGGGGAAAATGCGTTTTTATGCCTTCTCTGGGGTGATACTTATTTCTTATGCCTACAATCACCAGGCACTATATTAAAAGAGGATGCAAGAAATATTTCATGGAGCACAATGGTCATAAGTTTCTCACTCTCAGAATAGTGCAAGGAGGGTATGGCCACCATCTTGTTTCATATTTACTGGGTGCACATTACTTCTGTTTATTACACTGTACATGATATCACATCCTATTTCAAGAAATAAAATTCAGGTTTTCTTTTTCTTGCTGAATGTGTCCTTATTTAAAGTGCAGTAAATGTTGAAGGCCACTGTATTGGCAAAGGTAGGGAGAGTTGCATATAAAAATCTTATATTTTTGAGTTTAGAGCCTTTTGTGTGAGTAACAAAGTCAGGATAGAAAATGTCATTTATAATCTTAAGAGGGTTGGTCTTCCATTGAAACTGTTTGCCTGAGTTGTGTGTGTTGATAGTTGTAAACTAGGAAAAGAAGAAATTGATACAAGGGACGCAGTGTCCAAGAACACATTACAAAATTAAGTTATGCAGCTTCAACACAGCCAGATTCATTATTCCAACTGATGAACTAAAAAATAATAATAAATTGTTATTTGTTATTTTTTAGGAAATCTCAAATTTTGGCCATGCCATTATTAAGAAATTTAGCAAAAAAGGGCAGGAGAACTGAAATGTTCACCTCTGAGAAAAGCCTTCATTGTAGCTGAAATACATCGCTTGTGCTGGGGATATTCTCCCCTCAAACAAAATCTCCCACACTGTAAGGAGTCAGGTACAGCCTGCTGATTGACTCCTTCTGCTGAAGGGCTCCCAACCACACAGAAGCTAGATTTTGTGTGAACTCGACAGTCTGATGAACATTTAAGCATGCTACCCGCTCCCCCACAAAAAATATCTCCCCAACTGATATATCCTAGGTAGAGCCTATTAAAGGTAACGCAGGGAAGTTTTTTGTGGTGTGCCTTGGGGCTCCTCCTTCCCCTCCACTGCCTTTTTCTCATGACCAGGGCAGGAAAGGAGCTCATAGATTGCTTCAATTTGATGCTTGGAGCTGGAGGCATATGTTTTGGTATCAAAACCGGGGAGCAAAGGACGTTCCAGCCTCATGTCTAGGCAGGTGTATGGGTTTTGAGCAGAGCTACTAGAGCTCCTTTCCTGGTTCCTTTCCTTTAGCCTAGCTGCCTTGCAGTGAAATGGTGGGAGATGCAGCTGTTCCCCCCACCCCCCCATCAAGTAACATGCAGTCAAGGAGAGCCCCCTGAAGGTGGGAGTTATTTTAGATGCCCAGAGGGTGGATTCTTCAGAATGGAGAAATCAGAACTGTTTCTTCAGGCTCTGTCCTGCCTTTCTCTGATTTAAGAGGGGATAAGGCACATACCCAATTTCTGTTACAAAGATGCTATCCAGCAAGACATTAAAAAGGCAGTGTCATGTTTCAACTTTGCCCAGACCACAAATCCTAGGTGCCCTCAGGCAATGAGCAAGGGTAGTAAATGCCTTAAGAACTAATTGGATTGCATCATATCCTCCCATATCTTGCTTTATTGCGGTCTACACACCCAAAATACACAGTACAACAATAGTAAATATCAACAGTTATTAAGGTGTAAAATTGGCCTTGCTAGCCAACATAGGAGTTTTAGCCTATACATAATGGTTTCTGATTTTTACTGCCTCCGAGAGGAATTTTGCTACAGCCAGTGTAGTAGTATCAAACGTCTCCTCAAGGAGAACCTTGACATGAAATGAGTCAGCAATTCCTGGTTGTTCTGTTAGTATTAGATTGATTAGATGCTTTCTAACCCGTTTATATAGACTACAATGCAATAAAATGTGTTCCATACATTCAACACCCTGGGAACATGGGCACAGCCTGTCTTAGTATGGGAAACCAGCCAATCTTCCCCTCAGCACTTCAGAACAGAAAACGTTTAATCTGGCTTTGGAAAACAGATGCCGATAGTTAGATACAGTCAAATTCTTAAGGTAGGGAGATGACAAAAAACCCCTGAAGGTATTGGATTCCTGACACAGATGGGCCACAGGGCACATGTGAGCAACATGCAAATTTGTGAACCATTCCATATTTTTTGTGCTTGTTTGGGCAGCACATAAACTAAAATTGGAGCAATACAGAGAAGATTTGCATAGTCCCTGCTCTTCATACTCAGAGTAGACCCATTGAAATTAACATGCATGACTAACTTAGGTTCATTACTTCCAGTGAGTCTACTCTAAGTAGAACTGAGTTTACTATAAGCTTTTGATTGTCTTTGCTGAAAGAGACAAAAAAGGCTACCACTATGGAAATTTTCACAAAGAAGTTGAGGACTTCTCCCTAGGACTGAGAGTCCAATTACAGAATGTTGTGGAGTGGTCTTGTATACATTCCATCCTCCCTTCCTTTCAAGAAGAAAGCACTTGCCAGATTTGATTGTTTCCCATTCTAGGCAGGGTGAGGAAGTCACTGGACAGGTGGTTGTTAGGGAATAGGCTGTTAGAGAATAGGGCTGAGTTTGGCCACATAACCTGGCTGAAGATCACTACACACACAGTTCTGTCAGATTGGGGAGCACACATGGGGCTCAGGGCAACTGGAGTACTCTGAAAGCCAACACAGCATCAACTTCCTGGAGCTTCATACTGTCTCTTTTGGCCTTCTAGAAAAACTTATGGGTCACCATGTGTTTATCCAATTAGTTCAACAAACACATATAACAGTGGGATGCAAGGGGGTGGGGTGTTACTCAGCCACACAGTCTCCATAAGGAGACCTTCACTGTAATTGTTTTGAGCCATATATAACCTGGTATGGAGTGACTGAGCAGGACCATCATCCAGAAGTCCAAACACTCAAATATTCAACCTGGTGACACAGCCCTTTGGGAGACCCACAGGCAGACAGGTCAGAAGCTTTGTATCACAATGCCAGTATGTGGAATCAGAATACATAGACTGGCCAGCTGTGTGCGCTTTCCTTCTCTCACCCTGATTTCTATGCTCCTCAGGAAGATGAAAGAAAAGTGGTATTTATACCGGTTGAACTCCACTGGTCCAAAGGCCTGGGGTTCTCAAAGCTAGTCAAAATGTCCATGAAACAACATTGGAACATCATGTCCGAGAGACCATTTTTTCAACAGCAACTGCACATATTCTAGCTGGCAGCATAGATGTTAAGCAAAAGTGGCTAAATTGTTTTTGCTACTCTGATAACTCTTTTGGCATCTAAGCATTTGTTCATAGTTACAAGTCTTCCTGGAGAGATTTTATAGCCTGCTGTAATCATAAATCCAGTCCATTCTATAATTTTTACAGAACAGACTAGAAATATCTCGGCACCAGCACTTTGAAAAGACAGTTAGCAGTTCTCAACAGTATCTCTGGTATAAAGGATAACCTTTGCAGCCATCCACACATAAAACATTTTCTTAAAGGGGTAGTGCTGATGAATCCGTCTGCAGACAACCTGTTCCTGAACTAGAACCTCAGCTGGGTTCTGTCAGCTCTGCTGAAGCCACCTATCAGAAATTATGAACATGGTTCTCTCAGAACTTTATTTTTAGCCAATACCTCACCAGATTGGTTTTAGAGCTAAGGGTGCTATTTAAAAAAAAATAAATCCTACATTTGGGATTATTTCATCTTGACAAGCTGTGTTGAGAGAAACCCATCCTTTCTGCCCAAAGTCAACTTACTGTTCCATATGTTCCACATTCTGCCTTCCTGTCTGAAATATGCACAAGAAAACCTGAAAACAGGTTGGATGTGTTTAGGACCCTGGGCATCTTTTTGAGCAAGACCTTGGTTTTTAGAAAGTCTGAAGGTCTTCACTGAATTGGCATCTCCCTCCCTGGGAAAGTACCCTTCCCCAGGTGATTACAGTTTGTTCTCTTAGGGGGCAGTTATCATGGCTGCTGCCTGGGGTAGATTTTCTCTGGAAGAAATTTACAGGGCAATCACATAGGCTGTCCAATATTGTAAAATCAATTCTTTTTCCTTAGCAGTTGCGGCATTTGGGTGGATAATTCTTCAGAGGGTTCTGAGGTCTTTAAATTATTTTCTTTTATTGGAGTCCTACCTTAAAGCATTGTGCTGTTACATGCTTAAAGGATGAAGAATGCCCCCTGACTCTACCAGAGAAAACAAGGATTCACATTTCTGGCATAGTGTGTATGCATATTAGCAGATAACTGGAATGCCTTGTGCAATGATACCATTAGAGCTTGTTGTGCCACACTAACTTAGGTGTACAACTGTTTGAAGACTATGAAAGCTATTTAGTTGCTCATGATAGCATACTTTTCACATTCAAACATTAAAGGACCTTGTTTCGTTCCTGAAAAGTCACATGCCCCATTCACCTAATCAAACATGCACAATTTCATTAAGTAGGGTTCAGCTAAGCAGCCAAAAATTTTGCCACAACAACTGAGTTGGAGGAATGACTGGATGGGGAGGCTTGGGGCTAACCTTCAGGGCCCTTAGACTAAGTCGGTCTTCCCAAATAGATTGCTTCATCTTTTCTTCAAACATATTTTTTTTTTGCTGGGCCAAAGCATTGCATTAAATAACACTTTTATCCATGACTCCAGTAGTAATGTTTTCAAAGAGATGTCAGGGCTTCAGCCTCCTCGTGAGCAACTGCACCTGATCCCTGAAACCTTGATTTTTTTGGAGCTAGCTAATGTTATTCATTAATGCTGAAAATGTATCCTTCGTGTGGTTAGAAGTATACTCTTCATTATTACTTCATATTCTCTGCAATCAGTTCCTGGCTGGTTCTGATCATCTAGAGCTGTTCTTACGATAGTGCCTTAATGTTTTTATTTCTAAAGGTTCTTCTGCTTTGCATTGTGATATGATTGGACAAATCCTACTTTCCTAAAACTTCTCTTATTCCCATTCAGAAGATCAATAAACATTACAAAAGTCAGTGAGATGGAAGCAGCATCACAAAGATCGGTTCTGAATTCCTTTTTAGACACTTGATTCTTGCCCCCATATTCTTTTGCTCAGCATTACTTGCTTTGTTCCTATGTGTTAAAATGAGCATTATTTAATGGGCATTCAGCCCTTCACTAAATACACCTCTCCAATTACTGAGAGCATCAAATACATGTGTGTCCCATGTTTCCTTGTATGCTTTGTTTTGTTGGATGTTACCACAGTACCTGCACTATAAGAAAAGAACTTACATGTAAATTTATAAACAGGGGTCGGTTGTACGCCACGCTGGGGCCCAACTGGCGGGTACCAATTCGGAATTCTCCCAGAAGTCGGAGCTGTGTCTACAGGTACAATTAGGTGGTTGGTTGGTTGGTGTGTCTCTCCCTAGACTGTGGTGTTAATTCTATTTTCAGTCTGTTTTCCTCTTGCTAATTAGGAGAGCTTATTTTCAACAGCTTTTTCATTGTTTCCTTCCATCTGTGCAAAGACTTTCCTTCCATTCTCATAAGAGTTGCCAGGAGTAAGAAGATTGTTCATTCATATGCTTTCACCTTCATAAGCCTCACCATATTTATATACCACACTGCATATAAATATACTTCATATAAGTGCTGACTGTTCCTCTTCCTTATCATACTGAGAAATGCAGGGTAATTAACAGCACCACCACAAAGTTAAACACTTTTAAAGCTTCATTGATTTCAATTGAAGCATATTAAGCATATGTTTAACTTGGGGCCCAGTGAATATTCTAGGAGCATTTTGATGCTGCAGAACAGCATAATAAATTGCTAAGAACCTTAGTTGGGAACTCACGGAGAGCCCCACCTAACAGTGTGTGTGAATATGTGTATATTAAAGCCCTGCACTTTATCTGTCCCATTGAAATGAACAGAACTTAGCTTTCATAGGATCATACCATAATTTAAAGGGAGGTTCTCATTTTTAAAACCAGTTTCTGGTTTAAATAATACACATACACGTGGTGAAGCTCTATTTTCTTATGCTTAACTTTTGTTATCTTATTATGTAATGAATTACACTGGGTTTCAAGTTGATGCTTCCTTTTCCAGTCTCATCACAACTCAGTTTGCTGTTCTGATGACTTCCTAAAAAACCATGCATTTCCTTCAATAAACAGAGGGGGTCTAAAATCCAAGTGCCTCAGTACCCTCTTACACAAAAGAATAGCAGAACAACTTAACTCTTTTAGAGTAATTAAACAACTTGATACCTGTGGTTCCACCTGTAAAGGTAAAGGGTAAAGGAACCCCGGACTGTTAGGTGCAGTTGCGGATGACTCTGGGGTTGCGGCGCTCATCTCGCTTTACTGACCAAGGGAGCCAGCGTACAGCTTCCAGGTCATGTGGCCAGCATGACTAAGCCGCTTCTGGCAAACCAGAGCAGCGCACGGAAATGCCGTTTACCTTCCCGCCGGAGCGGTACCTATTTATCTACTTGCACTTGACGTGCTTTTGAACTGCTAGGTTGGCAGGAGCAGGGACCGAGCAATGGGAGCTCACCCCATCGCGGGGATTCGAACCACTGACCTTCTGATCGGCAAGCCCTAGGCTCTGTGGTTTGGACCACAACGCCACCTGCGTCCCATAGTTCCACCTGTAGAACTCCTCAAATCGAACTGATATCTGTGGGAAGCAAAGAAATGTGACTTGGAAAGAAATAGTATACTGACGCAAATTATCTTGCAGTCATTCTAACAAGTTTGTTTAATGTTACCCAGAAGAAAATATTAGTTTTTTATAGTGCATCTTCTCATGGCTTCTTCTATTCTTCTTTATAGTGTCTTCTATTCCTCTTCATAATTACTGATTTTTTTCGCTAGGCTTGCTTTCTGGTGCAGCCTTTGGGGGAAATCTAGCAAAGGTGATGTGAGCAGATATGCAAGCCTTCTAAATAATCTCTCTCAAGCATTTTCCATTTCAATCCTTATTTTGTCTGCTTTTATTTCTTCATATATTTGTAACTTTCTGATAAATATCTCCAAAAAATCCTATTTGTATACACCTGGCATTTGCTACGATACTCAGTGAATATCTATGGTAAGACAGATTTCTAAGAGATATTGCAGGTATGCTGATTTACACATAAAAGTGTGGTGTTTCTCTCTCTTGACACTCAGAATTATACTCCAAACATCTTACGAAGTGGGCTGTGGCCCATAAGAGTTTCTGCCATAATCAGTTTACAAGACTCTTTGTTAATTTGCAGCAAAGGCTTCAGACTGTGGCAAGTCATAACAGCTCACCCTCTGTTACACCATTAACAGACAAACTTACCTTGTAAAAATGGCAGGTGTCAGTTTGCTGTACAAAACCCAGTTTCCTTCCAAAGCAATTCACTCAGTCTGCTGTGTTATATATGCTCAACTTCGAAGTATAATTGCAGAAGACTCCTTGTTTTATAGAGAAAGAGAGAAAGAGAAGAAAAAGGACAAGTATTCAGATAATGGCCTTGAACCAATGCACACAGAAACAAATAGTTATGTGGACTATCTATACAAATATGTTAATAATTAATAGGCTACAGTTCAAACAACTGCCATTCCCAGATTCAGCACTCACAGTTTAATTCACAAGCTTGTGGAATTTGGCACATGTCCTTTGTGCAGTTAACACATGCTCATCTGAAGGTGGTTCACACAGGGCTGTGAATTGGGGCCAGTTGCATATAGGCTTAGCAGATGAGGTCAAAGAGAACCCAAGTTAGCTTGTTCTATATGCATTTATTGTCATGTCTTTCCCATGACTGAAATAGCTACTCTACTGTTTGCTTAGAACTAAGTGAAAGCAAACATATTTCTGCTTGAATTGGTCCCTTTGTGTTTGACATCCTTATAGATATGGGACTATGAAGTGTTCTGGGCAATGAATGTTTATTAAGTAGGAAATTCCTACTGGGCAAGCTTCTAACTCAATCAGTATTTCCCTGCTGTTAAATCTTCCTGAATCTAACTTAAGTATTTAGTAATGGATGTGATGGCTGCTAGCACTCATTTAATAATGTAGTAGGGTTTATGATTCACTTGGCATTGTATATTGGCATCCATAAACCATTTAGTTGGCATTCAGTAGCATGACAGCTTTATTTATTTATTTATTTATTTATTTATTATTTATTTCATTCATTCATTCATTCATTCATTATTAGGAAAATATACATAAACTGTTTAATAAAATAAAAATCTCTTAAGAAGTGTGCATAAAATGTATTTATTTATATTCATAATAGTCATAGTAACTTAATTGGATGGCAGAAGACAAAGAATGATGGGCTCAACACTGGCCACGTATCTCTAAACCTCCACCAGCTCACAATATGATGGAGGACATACTTTACCATATGTTGGTCTCTTTCCTGGTTGACACTGTCTCCACCAGTCTCTTTAAGGATTCCTTCTGTGTTGTGAAAAAGAATCATGTTTCCTGTCCACAGTTATCATAATCTGGTTATTGTGTTTCCATTGTTTTTTATGTTAGAAGGTCAGATTACTTGTATGGTTCATATTGTAACATGATCTGAAAAAGTTCTACCAATTTTTTTATTATTTTTTAAAATCTATATATTAATACAAATTAGTCTTCCTGTGCTCGTGTAGCCAAAACTTTCCTTTAAAAAAAGCTGTTTTGAAGGGCAGAAACAACCATTTCATTGTCTGCATAGGCTACTTCCTGGTTCATGCCAAGAGGTTATTTCTAATGTCCTTGCTTATGCACTTCAGTGGAAAACTTACATTAAATTTCTTTTTAAAAACTTGTTTACTGTAATACTAGTCATGAACTACGAAGTCTGCAGCCAATGTTTAGGACAATATTGATGGCACGAGCCAAGGCCTGTGTAATTTTTTGAACAATTTAATCACTGGATTATTTGATTTTGTTTGCTCCCACCAAAGAGTTGACATTTGTTATTTCAGTCCAACAGGTGCCTGCAGCTGCGCATCAGGGAGTTCCGTGGGGGTTGTTACCATGGAAGGGCCACTAAGAAGAAAGACATTACTAAAAGAAGGCAGGAAGCCTACAGTAAGGGGTTCTCCTCCCCCCCCCTTTGCTTATGCTTTTAAACCCCTCATTACAATTTGAATAATATTTTATGGTTGCTAAAGAAAGCAGTAGAGTGTTAAAAACAGCATGGCAGCTAACTCTGGCTGAACAGAAAGAGCCATGGGCTATGTCTCATGTTGTTGTTGTTAATAATATTTATTTATTTCCTGCCTTTTCCCCAAAACTCGGACTTAAGGCACCTTTACAAAAATTGAAATGAGCACAACTAAACCACAGAAAGCTAAAAACACATAAAAGTAATTACCTTCAAGGTAATTAAACAATAATGGAATTAAAACAATGTTAAGAACAAATTACTTAAACACTACCATTTTCCTTAAAAGCAGCCAGTTCCTGAAAGCCTGCCTGAATAGAACAATCTTCACCTGCCAAGGAGAAGATTCAACAAGGAGGAGGCCAGTCTAGCCTCACTAGGATAAACACACTTGAACAGAGCAGACTGCAGGAGAGGACACATGGTCAGGGAGATGCAGTCATGATAGCCCCACTGCAACACTGCCTCCTCAACCCCCAAGACTTGGATGCTGTTCTGCAGCAAATCCAGGTTGACAGAGCTGAGAGAGAATAACCTCCCCCGTTTCATCCCACCAGTTTTCTTTAACACAAGATGGGTTGGCATGCTTGTCTTGTTGTTTTACCATTTACTGGCTTGGCACTGACCAACAACATTTTCAACCTAAGACAACTGTCTCCAAGGCTATACATGCTATTTGAACTAGTGGACAGTACAGGGACAACCAGCATCCTGTTGCAGTGCCCTCTTTCATAATAACCCTCTGTATCTCCCTCTCCTTTCTACGGTTCTGATGTTCTTCTTACAAGTGTGTCATGACCAAACCTACAATGGTTGCACATAGTGCCAATAGAGGTGCCCGATTCCCATTGGGACAGGCAGGATGGAAAGCAGGGAGGCCCAATAGTAGGAACCAGCACTAAGGACAGATCCAGGTAACTCTACAGTTTTGTCCTCCTCCCTGCTGACTTCTACAAGAGCAGCATGAGACTCAGATGGAAACTGACAGTCAGAAGACACTACCTGGACTAGTTGCAAGTTGTAAGACAGACAGGTGTTGGCTGGCTGGGGCAGACTAGGGTTGGTGGCATATGATCAAATGTGTTGCAGGTTGGGCTAAATATGGGTTCCAGATCTGGCTGCTGTTTTAAGAGATGCTCATGGAAACACCCAAAGAAAAGAATCTGCCACCATGCATCCTACACCATATAGAACTTTTGTTTAAATTTCAAAACCAGGTTATATTCCGCACCCTGGAACCCTCCTCCCCATAAGCTTTTTTTCTAGAAAAAAGGTGCCAATAATGTGCACCCTTATGTACCCCCAGAAAAAAACACTGAGAATATATGAAATGGCATTGGTTTGGGGGGAATGGAAGAGTTTTAGGCCAAGGATTCTTTCTTATATAGCAACTATTTCCTACTGGCAGTAATTTTCACTGCCTTCAAGAGGGTGGGGGGGGGAGGAGAAAGGCAGACATGTACAAGAAAGAGTACAAAACAAAGAGTACATATCTGCTATTTTTCGCATTCCGTAGGAGAGGAAAGGATACTCAGGCCTTTAGGCTTTGCCCCGCATACCACTACATTTCCTCATGGCCTTTTGTGAAAATGCCATTGCTTGATACTAAAGGTTTGAAGTGCATTTATTATCATTCTGACTGGAGCTGACTTACTGAGCTGTAATGCATCCATCACCACCAGCAGGGGACAGCACATAACCTTGTTTTTCAAAGTGAAGGCAGAATAGCTGGGTTTTCTTCACAGCAAATGCAGCCTCATAGTTGATAGCATGTCTGAAGCATCTCACCTTCTTTCATGTTAGTTCTGGAAATTTATGTATGCTTTTGAAAGTTTTTTTAATTTCCTCCTTTCAGCTTTCCTCCTGGACTAGATATTGGGTAACCCTTTCAGGATCTACTCTGATCTACTTTGGAGCAAAGTCATTAAGAGGCACTGAAAGAAAGCATGTAAGCAAATAATTTGCCTTATTTTGTAGACCAAGTGCACATCCTATCTGCAATTGTTTCAGAGAATCAATTGGCTGCAGTATTCACAAAAACACAAAGCAGCCCAGGGTAGCAGAATAAAGGCAACTCCCAACTTGCATGCTATTGTGTACATGCCTGGTGCCAGGAAGCTGGAAATGGAACCTGGAAGTGGGAGTACCCTGGAGAGTCCTTGTGGCTCCCCACCTAACAGCTGATGTGCAGGGCTGCTCAGCTGATGTCCTCTTTGGGCTCTAGGAAGTGTCTCCTCAGCGGGGCTTTCTTGAGGCTGCTCAGCTGACTTATGGGGAAGCTTTCCCACATGTCAGCTAAGCAGCTCAAAAAAGCCCCACTGTGCCTCTGGCTTGGGAGGAGATTCTCCCCAGAGGACATCCTCTTTGGGTTCTGAGGAGGGCCTCCTCACAAGCCACAAATGGACTCCCCGCTTACGTAAGGGTGCTCCCCACTTACACACATTTCAGTTATGCATAAGGAGCCCGGAATGCAACCTCTGCGTAAGTCGGGAGTCGCCTATACTTCACAATTCAGCTCATTGATATTCTTCCTTGACTTTTTCTCTCTTTTAGTATAAATCTACTCCGGGGAAAAAGGTTTCTGTTGTGGGCTGGATGGTAGCACTGCCTGATGACCCTGAACACCCTGATATTTTTCAGCTAAATAACCCAGATAAAGGTGGGTGTTTTATTTTTAATTGGACTTTCTTCAGAACATTAAGTGTGCTAAGTAACAGTAAGCTTTCCTATCAGTGGCATGCGGCGAAATTTTTCAGAGGGGAACAGTTAAGGCCAGAGGCACTAGCTTGTCTGGGGTGTCAATGTCATGCATGTGACGTTGCACACGTGAGCATCATGCCTCCCTCCCTAAGCCAAGTAGAAATTTCCCAGGCTTTGTGAAGGAGGCGCCAGGGGAACATTTAGGGTACTAGCCTAGTCGCCTTAATCCAATGACCGCACACCATCATTTACTATGCTTTTGTTAAAACAACCAAAAGCCCTGTAGCACAAGCTTTTGTGTACTGTACTAGAGTCTACTTCATCAGATAATATAAAGCATTATCCTTGGCTGACGGGTATATACCCACATGGGAGCATTCAGAAAAAATGCTGTTTATAATTCAATTTACTTTCAAAACTGTAAAATGCAAAGGAAACGATCAGGATCTGTTAAAACGGGTGTAGGAAACATCAGGTCTGAGGATTGAATGCAATCTTCCAGCCCTCTCTTATCTAAGCTGTTCCCCTTTGCAGGCCACACCCCTCTCACCAAGCCACACCCTTCACTACTTCTCCTCTACAGCTTCCTTAAGTGCTTTTGCCTCATTTAAATGTGTCTGATAATGTTTGCTGGGATGAAGGATTGAAAGGTGGGTGTTTGGGTGTGAAGCCCTGGCTTTTGTGTGGCTGGAATGTCTGTACATAGTAATAGTCACATCCATTGCTTTGCCCACTTTTGCAGACCCTCCAAGTGTTTCCATTTTCCAGGGACAGTACCAGATTTACAGAAGCCATCCCAGTTTCTGATTTGACCCTAGAACGTCCTGCTTTTATATATGCTTTTTTATATATGTTGAAAGCTGCCCAGAGTGGCTGGGGCAACACAGCCAGATGGGTGGGGTATAAATCGTAAAATTATTACTATGAAGTCCCTATTTTTATCGGAGAAATGTTGGAGGGTATGCTTTTGCCCTGCCCATACTAACATGTGACCCCGCAGAAGGTTCCCCAAAAGGGAACACAGCCCTCATGTTGAAAAACTTTCCTCACCCCTCCATTAAACACTCCTCAGCAACAAAAAGGTGCTGGGTTTCCACCCGCAACACAAGTTTCAGATTCTTTCATAATTGCCTATGTAAAGTACCACCACTATTTCATTGCCTGTCCAGCTAGCCTGCTATGAAAACTGGCAAGGCAGGAGTCAATAAGCTGCTCCTGCTTCAGCATGCTAAACAGTATATCCCCCAGCTCTTATAAATCAACAAGGTAAATACTGAATACATTCTTAAACTACCAGCTTTACTCAGTAGAAACAAAGACAGCGAGGCTGGTTAAGATTTTTAGACTGGTTGGTGTTCTGATCTATTCGTACTCACTCTTTTGAGTACTCTGACATTTCAGACTAAGGTTCTTCAGTGGTCACCCAAACTGGTCATTACCAAGATCTTCTCTCTTACCAGATAAATTGTTGGCTTTTTTAAACCTTTCAGCATCTTGTTCTGTTTCTTCCAAAGCTCAAGGGTTCCTTCTTACCTTATATTTTTAACTTGTAGGCAATGTTTACAAGTTTCAGACTGGTTCAAGGTTTCATGCAATACTGTGGCACAAACATTTGGATGACGCATGCAGAAGCAACAGGCCTCAGGTAAGGTTTTTCTTCTGTTTCTGTTTGAAGCTAAAATAGTAGCCATGTGGAAACTTTTAGAACGGGGTTATAACCACAACAAAAGCCCTAGGCAAATTAGGAGTGCTTACACCACCTGCATCTGAGCTCTCAAAGTTTCCCCAAAATTGCATTGTTTGCAAATGGTGTAAAATATTATTGTATGAATTGTAACCGATATTAGTTTTATTTCAAGTGTGTCCATTAAAATTAATGGGCAAGGCTAACTTAGATTCATTAATTTCAGTGGGTCTACTCCGAGTAGAACATAGTTGGAGACAACTATTATTTATATATTTAAAGCAGTGTAGTTCAACACACAGGTCACAAGGCCTTTTTTTTGGCACCCCTCAGCAACAATGTCAACATCTTATCACCAAGCTCAGCTACAGCACCCTTGGGCCTGCTACCTCCAGACTGCCTTTTTCAGGGGAAGAGTAAGAAGCTCGGCGGTTCGAATCCCCACAGCGGGGTGCGCTCCCGTTGCTCGGTCCCAGCGCCTGCCAACCTAGCAGTTCAAAAGCACCCCCGGGTGCAAGTAGATAAATAGGGACCGCTTACTGGCGGGAAGGTAAACGGCGTTTCCGTGTGCTGCGCTGGCTCGCCAGATGCAGCTTTGTCACGCTGGCCACGTGACCCGGAAGTGTCTGCGGACAGCGCTGGCTCCCGGCCTCTTGAGTGAGATAGGCGCACAACCCCAGAGTCTGTCAAGACTAGCCCATACGGGCAGGGGTACCTTTACCTTTACCTTTAAGAAGCAGTCGGCTTGACAGTGGTCTTGGCTATTTTTATTCATCCACGAGGGTTGTGGGGGAAGCTGCTCTTTTCTGCAGGACTGTATAGTAAAAAAGTTGCTCTATAGAGCTTGGAATCTGCCCTGAGCAGAGCAGGTACCAAGTGATGGCTAGTAGGTAAGGCAACACATAATCACTGTCCCATGTCTTCACGCAGTTTCTTATGTCTTGTGGTGGAGAGATGTTAATTTGCCACGCCATGCTTTGATCCCACCTGTCTCTATGCACCTTGCCCCTTCCTTTAAAAAAATGCTTTACTACACCCCCTTCCCGGCAAGAGGCACTCTGCCTGGTGCTCCCCAGGGTGTTCCGCCTAATAATGTGTCACATGCACACCACACTTTTGCTTCCTTGACTCTGGCAGCTGAATGTGATTTTAGAGCAGGGGGCAAGGGGAAGGAGATGTTGCTGCATCAAAGCCCCTTACACATAAGGAGCATTGAGAGGACCTGAGCCCGGCCCAACTACTCGCTAACTATGCAATACTAACTATATTGCAAACATTTTAATTTATGATATGGAAATTTAATTCAGTGTGCAGCCCATGGTTTCTCTGTTAAAGTACTCTTACTCTTGGTCTGAGAAGATTTTTACCCTGCTCTTCAGCCAAAAAGACTTCCTAAGCCAGGGCTTTTTTTCAGCTGGAACTCACCAGAACTCAGTTCTGGCACCTCTCAGGTGAGCGCCATTATAAGAGAACAAGGGAGGCATTCATGGTGAGTTCCGGCACCTCTTTTTCTAGAAAAATATCACTGTCCAGAACCATTTTCAGATATCAAAAATAAAGAAGTCCCCACGCTCAGGCTTACAATTTACACCACAGAAAAGGGATTGGGGTGAGGAGGGGAGAAAGCAAACTCAGCTACTCTGGTTAATGATTTCAGAACATGCAGCAAATCACTCAGACCACGCATGAAGCTGTTAATCATACATTCCTGGTTGATGAAACTATTGCTGGTATATGCAATTTCCTCTGGTTTTCTTATGTTTAAATAAATAAATAGCTTTTATAGATGTAGAACCAATTTATAACTTCCTTTTTTTCTTTTTGCGTGAGCACTTCCACTGCCCTGGGATGCTGACGTCTTCTATCCATGATAGGCTGACCATTCATTGTACTGACCAGTTTACTTTTCTCTGCCAGGTACCTGCAAACCTTATGTCATTTGAATAACGTGCTCCAGTATGTGATGTGACTTCAAGTGCCAAACTGCAGGATGGGAAAATCATTCCCACAGGAAAATGGAGGAAGGGGACTCTAGAGTGAGCCAGCTGTCTGTAACAGTGACTTCAGCACTTTTCTTATATAACTTGAAAGTAATTATGACACAGCTTCTAAAAGCAGAAAGTGAATGTTGTCCTTAGGACAGGATCTAACTCAATGCACTGATGAGAGAGGTGATTTAGACTGATTGAAGATATAACCTGCTTAGGGCAGGATCCTTGACTTTAGCTTTGTGGTCACAGACTACTGTGGATTTCTGTTCTGCCACAAACTGTGCATCACATCTTCTGCGGATTTTTTTTTTAACTGCTCTTTTTATTGTTGAGCTGCTTTATGTGACTGAAGAACATTTAGCCCATGTTGGGTTTTCAATTATTTCTAATGCACAAAATGATGACAGTGTTAACTTTGCTGCAAAGTGTCAATTAGAATAGGACATTGTGGAACAACGTTTTTATAACCTTAAGTGCACTGAGTTGCTTGGCAATGTGGCTGCCTCAGATTTTGTATCAAACATAGGGACAAACCAATGTTCATACCTGAGCTATTTGAGAAATGTGTATTTTGGCACAAGATAAACCACCTTCAATTTAGTGTTTGTTTCTTGTAATTGGTTGTGCTGCTTTGTTTTAATTAACTACAGGTGCCCAGGCAAATGAAGGGTCTCTTGCTGCTGAAAAATCAGTTGGTGTTAACGCTCCTCCTGGGTTCTTTCACTCCAAAAAGAAATATTTGCCTTAAATTATTTGTTTTTCTTTTTACTGTGGGTGCTATTCATAAAAATGTCTAGCTGTGTGTCACCTCCCCCCGGGTCTTCTGGGGCACAGGGCATCTGCTCGATCAGTTAAGTTGCAAGAGCATTCCTGCCTTGGGATAAGGGGTTACACCCTCTCCCTTTCTCTGGGGGTGGGGGGCGGTTGCCAGTATATCCTTCCTGAGCCCACCTTTTTTGATACTTCACATACCTTTCTTTCACAGAAAATCAGTGTTAAGGCTGTATTCAGCAAGGAAAGAATACATTGATTATCTCCCTTTCCCTCATTTCCTAACATATGAATAGCAGTCAGTAAGCACTCAGCCACTGAACATCTGCAAGACTACAACTAAGTGGTACAGCTTTTAATAAACATGGGAAGCCATTTCGGATTAACAGAACTCTGCATCTGAAGAAAGCTCTGGCAAGGGCATGCTGTCTATTGATCTAATTGGATATTGTTAATCTTTGAATATTTTTATTTTAAATAATTTCCTTTAATGTTCAATGTCTGTTGACTGTATTGTTTTTAAATATTATGTTGTATGCTTGTGTCATAGATCTAAGACTGAAATCCAGTATGAAACTGGCTGTCAAAGAGAACCTAGTTACTGAATCTAGTAAGCTACCCAAAAGGGGCAATAGGCAATTTTACAGCAAGATGTATCCCCAAACACCCTTTTTACAGTTGGGAGCTGAACAGCTGGCTTTCTTGCCAATCCAAAAGCTAAATTCATGAGAGTGAGGTAGTTGTAATAGGATATCTATAGGTCTATCAACAAACTCTTATCATCGGCCAATGAATGGAATTCTCTTTTCAGCCATCACCATCTCATAATGTGTTGGGATACAATTTTGAAGGGTTCTCTTGTACAGAGAGATGGAGTTTACATGTTTGGATTGTTTTTTCAAGAAGAACATTTCTCTGGATTTGCCATCAAAAGCAAAGGTGTATGATTTTGTAACTTCTCTGCATATATGTGCTGATAATATCCCACCTACCTGCAGGATGCAGAAAGAGACACTTCTTGCCAGCTGAATGATGGTTATTAAAAGTCTGACCTCCAAACCTCCTACTTAATGCTGAAAAGCCAACACCATTCTTTTATACTAAATAATTAGCCTCATCCAGGCATGTACTCAAGTTTTAAATGTCCGTATTTAATCCAGAAACTCATTACAAAACCATGGATAACATTATCATCACTTCTACAGTTGTATTAAATCAAAGGACCTTTCCGTTGACAGCCCAGCCTGAATTTTATCCTTTGTAACTTCCAAGGATGCCAAAAATGCAAGGAGCACCCACCTGATGCAGGGAAACTAATAAATGGTTAAAAGGACTAGGCCTTCTCATGCTGCCAAAGACCAAATACTATAGAAAGGGAATTATGACATGCATAATTTAGTGACTCCATTGTCAACGAATGGCTTAAGGAAAAACAGTGGTGTTTGGGTTGCCTACCAATCAAATAATCGGATGGAGAAGAACAATCTGTATGGTAAATTTTACCTCAGTCCCTTAGGGGTTAAAATATGCATTGGTTAGAATACAAACTGTAGCTCTTTCGTCAAAACATATTTGAAGCAAAATAAATTTGAACTGCTCAGAATAAGTTCCAAGACCTAGTTATATAATGATTCATCAGTAATCCAGGTGCTCACAGTTAGTCAGAAGAGCAACATTTAAACCTAAATAATAAATGCTTACACTTACTGGCTTGTTCATAAGTCAGTGTGAACCACAAACTGAAATTACAGTGGCTACATCCAAAAACCATACACTATTGAAGGCAAAGGGAGTTTATTAGATGCCCCTGAGTGGACAGAAACAGCTGTCAACCATGAAGGCTGGAAAACTAGGTAAATTATGAGGAAATAAGTCCCATTGAATCTAGTGGGCCTTCTAAGTAAGAATGTGTGGTATTTGGCTGCAAAACTCTTTCAGAACAAACACTTACAGAAAGCAGATCTGTATTTTGCTTTATATTTTACTTACTGGATAAACAAGGGAAAATATTTTGGCTTGTGAAGAATCCCCACATCACAAGAAAAATGCCTCCCAAATCTCATCAGCCTCCACCCTTTTACATCAAGCACCTCAATCCAAAGGAATTTGGATCAGAAATCAGCACAGTCCTTGATAATGACATTGCATTAATGAAAATAACACTTGTCATGGTGACACCCATGAGAGGGGAAATCTCCTTTTGTAATGAATGAAACTTGCATGCATCTGTAGAGGGGGGAAATCTCTTGGAATTAAGCTACTTGAAAGTCCCTCTGCAAATCTGCATTTGGAATGTTTTGTTTTGTTTTTGTTTTTAAGAAAAGAAAGCAAGAACCAGTGATGCAAATGGCTGGCCATGATTTTGATTTGTTGTATATGGACATGGAAAGTTGTAGAATAATGAGTTGTGTGATATGATGCAGTATTCAGCAATATAAGCATCTTTACTGCAGTGTTTTGAGAAGATGAAATAAACGAGTGTTAGTACAGTATATGGAAATTGTTATTAGCATAATCCACATTTAAATGGTTCTCGTCCTATAAAAGCATGAAGCTCTACTTAGCTACTGATTTTTGTGTGTGTGCACCTTTTACTGTGAATTCAAGTGATGCATATTGGTACTATTTAAAATACCACCTCCCTCAAAGCATATCACAAAAACTGTGCCCTGGCATGTGTGTGTGTGTGTGTGTGTATGTGTGTAAAAATACACACAAACTCACACTCAGCTCTTGTGCTTGAAAACAGTTCAAATAATTTCAATGGTGGCAACAGATCCACATGTGCAAAGGCAAATTGGCTTTGTCCTTTGAAATGAATAGTGGTGCTGGTGCAGGTGAGATAACCCCATACTGCACATCAGTATTCCTATGCCCAGAACAGATTACTGGATCAGGTCCTAGTGAACAGTGATAAATGTACAAAGCTAGTCTTTTTGTTCAGCTATTCTGCAAAAGGGTCCCTATCAAATTATTTTCAGGATGACTGTTAATGATTTGTTTAGCTGTATTGAGCAATATTATTTATTATTAATTTATTAGCGTGTATGTAATTTAAAAGTAAACTTAGTGCCAAAATGCATGTTTTTCCAATTAGCACTCAGTCAAGGTATAGACAATAGTATTCAATTTTTGACCCATTTGTCACATTGTGATGTAAACCAATTTCTATATTTCAATTTGTTTCTTGTGAGAACTGTTGCACTATTTTATTTTATTTTTACTTTTAGCTGTATTCCAGCAGCCCACTGCATGCCATTTGTGTAAGGCCTCTTTCTAAAAAATCTTGTGAATTGTCTCTCATAATAACCACTGAACTTTTAACTCTTGTGTGGGAGTCTTTTAGGTTTTTGGCACAGTATTTTGTTACCTCAGTCTTCTATCAGGTTGCTGTATTTTTCAGCTTGTTACATTGATGATAATTGTTTCACTAATTAAAAACTTTAATGTAAAAATAAAATATAGTTTTCTTTCTTTAGCACATATTTTACACGTATGGTTTATAACTGCTTTTTGACCCAAAGGCCCCCAAAGTTATGAACATATTAATATAAAAGAAAAATGCAATTAATATAAAATAGCAGATCACAATTACACTGGTTGTGCATTTGTCAACAGCATCCATGCTGTCACTTAACATGCAGCTCCCCGGCATTCCACCTTTCACTTGGGAGCCAGGTTAACTAACACACATACACCCCTTGCCCAGCTCATCCAATCTCTCACATCCACAAGCAGTCATGCAGCAGCAGTACCCTCATCCTCATCACCCCCCAAAGGAGTAACACAAAGGCGTGATTTCCACTAGCAGCTACTCACACGCAATAGGTTGTTGTTTACCAGGTGCGGATAAAGAAGTCTGGGGAGGCCAAGTTAGCATTGTCAGGCTCTTGCCAAGGGCCACATTCCTGAAGAGGATGTTTGCTGATCAAGAACTTTCTGGCTCTGCTGCTTTTGCCCCTTGATGCTGCTGCCTTCAATGAGTGTACAACTAACTACATTAAGTGAGGATATAGAGCAGCACACCCAACTTGCTTTGCACTCCTCCTCCTAGTTGCTGAGTGGATTGGGCTGAAAGTGGGGAAGCAAATGGGCAGCAGTGGCAGGGTTAAAGAAGAGACGGCCCGATTCAGAGACAGTTGGTCCACTTGCCCAAGAGTTTCCAAAACCTAAAAACTTTGCAGAATTAGTGTTCTTGAGGATTTCAACTTTTCTTGTTTTTTAAAAATAAAAGGCTTCTATCCTTTGTGATATCAGTGAAATTTATATTTGAAACTGCAATGGGTATTGGCAGAAGCCTCCAGGGTTCAGGAAGTTGAATTTGTTTCTGTTGAGGTTCCGAAGAATAAAAGACAATTCCATAAAGCCTGACAAGAACAAAATATGTATAAAGAAAACTAGAAAATGTTGGGGAAAACAGTCAGGCAAAAGCTGCTAAGACTTTCATCAAACTGTTCACACAAATTTGCTGGCATTTTATCGTTAATTCTCGACTACATGCTCCCCCCCCAAAAAAAAAACCTGAATAGGGAAAAACAACATTAGAAGTGGCCCTTGGTGTCAAGTGAAGCTGTCAAAATTTTCACACAGCTCTTGAATAGCACTATACTCAATGATACTGCAAAGAGAACTTTTACAGTTATATGCCACTGAATTTCAGGTGTAGGGGATGTTAGGAGAGAGCTCTTTAATGTCCTGCATGCAGGCTTCCTAGAGGCATCAGGTTGGTTACAGTTTTATGTACATAAAATGTTTTCTCGGGGAAAACTAAGAACAGACCAAAGGCCTGCTGAAGTGGCCTCCCATGTGACTATGGGAAAACCACAAGCACGATTAAGTGCAATATCCTTCTCCTGCTGTTGGTCCTCGAGAGAGACTAGTACCCAGACGCAATGTGTCTCTGTTCCCAGAGGTTAGGGCTGGACGATATCAGCTTTTCAACACTGTGATGTGTCACCAGCCAAACATTGTGGTTTGGTGGTATACTGCAGTGTTGAAAAAACATTCTGCATTGGCCTCTGCCCGCAAGACACCGGATGAAACTTTTCCAGCTCTCACCTCGAGAGCTGAGGTGGTTTCACCCAGGCTTGTACAAGTCTGGGACAATGCAGGTCTCTCCATTGTATGAAGGTAGATTGGGATGGTGGTTTCACCCTTGGCAAGGAACTAAAAGCGCCACTGGCCAACTGGAGGGGGTCTTGCAGGGCTGCTGCAATGGAGCCAGTTTTTGGCCTGCGGCCTTAGGGGCCAACCCCTAAATACACTCCTGACTTGACCTGACTAGAACAAATTATACTGAAAGAGAAACAGGCATTCCCCTTTTGCTTTATACTTTGCTTTATACTTTATACTTTGCTTTAAGCAGTCTTAAGTTGGTGAGTATCAGCACATCTTTGTGTTAATACATTCCATAGTTTAATTGTATGCTGTCTCCATCCTGAATCTCCCACCATTCAACATGACTGGACAACTCTGGGTTCCACCAATACAAAAGACACAGAAAATGTTGCTCTAAAAAGGTCTGACTCAGCATAAGGTAGCTCCTTCAGTTCATGTGTAGTTTTTCTGTAACCTAGTAAACACTGTTTTCTCACTGTGCCAATTATAGGCAAGTATTGGGCATCATTTTGCTTTTATTTCTGTAGCTAAATTATACTTTGCATTCTCCCTTCACTTTCAGAGGCACCATGCTTTCTGAATGTGTTACCGGGAATCACAAGTGCGAGTTACCAGAGGCATCTAAGTGGCCACTACAAAAACAGGATGGACTAGATTAACCTTTGGCCTCATACAGCACAGATCTTATGGGTTACAATAATAAAACTAGTGTTTTGGTTAAGTGAATCTGAGTGTTCTGAGAGGGAGAAGTCCAAACAGGCTTATCAAGGTGAATGCATTAATCCTTTCAGTCAAATTATTAAAGTAGACTTAGGGTGGGAACACTGAATGATTGAAGACTGGGAACTGGCAGGTTTCCGCCTCAGGCCTACTCCTACTGTGCTCTATAGTGCTGGGTTCCTCAGATTGTTGTTGTTTAGTCGTGTCCGACTCTTCGTGACCCCATGGACCAGAGCACGCCAGGCACTCCTGTCTTCCACTGCTTCCCGCAGTTTGGTCAAACTCATGCTGGTGGCTTCGAGAACACTGTCCAACCATCTCGTCCTCTGTCGTCCCCTTCTTGTGCCCTCCATCTTTCCCAACATCAGGGTCTTTTCCAGGGAGTCTTCTCTTCTCATGAGGAGGCCAAAGTATTGGAGCCTCAGCTTCAGGATCTGTCCTTCCAGTGAGCACTCAGGGCTGATTTCCTTCAGAATGGATAGGTTTGATCTTCTTGCAGTCCACGGGACTCTCAAGAGTCTCCTCCAGCACCATAATTCAAAAGCATCAATTCTTCGGCGATCAGCCTTCTTTATGGTCCAGCTCTCACTTCCATACATCACTACTGGGAAAACCATGGCTTTTACTATACGGACCTTTGTTGGCAAGGTGATGTCTCTGCTTTTTAAGATGTTGTCTAGGTTTGTCATTGCTTTTCTCCCAAGAAGCAGGCGTCTTTTAATTTCGTGGCTGCTGTCACCATCTGCAGTGATCATGGAGCCCAAGAAAGTAAAATCTCTCACTGCCTCCATTTCTTCCCCTTCTATTTGCCAGGAGGTGATGGCCCTCAGATTAGTGGCTGCCAACCCTAAATATAAATATTTATACCTTATGCCATTGGGGAAGGGTCCTAGAAAGTAGGGAAAGTGCCCTTTGAGATTCCTGCATTGCAGGGGGTTGGGCTAAATGACCCTTAGGATCCCTTCCAACTCTACGTTCTATGATTCTTTTATTATCGATGGGTAGGATGTTTTAGTTCTACTGACTTTTAAAAATATGAAGGTGCTTGAGATTTTTATGTGTTTTGTTTTATGCTGGTTTTCATGTGCATGTTTTAAGTTGCCTTGAGCTACTTTTATAAAAAGAAACCGATAGGTTACATAATCACCACCATCATTATAACTGTTATTAAAAGGCAGGTTTTACCAAGAGTTTGTCTCAATTTTCTTCCCATCCCACCCTGAGGAAAGGCAGTTGGAGTCTTTAAAAATCCCCTCAGGCTTGCTTTCTTTTTTCTAAGGCGATTTTTAAAGACTCCAACTGCCTTCCCCGTCCCCTTTTCGAACAGATTTTATCTTATTATTGTATTTCTATGCCACTTTTCATTCAAATGAATCTCAAAGCAGCTTACAAACAATCAAGAACAATAGTAAGAGCATTGCGAATACATTGCAAGTCCTATAAAATGATTAAGAAAACATCAACAATTACAATCTGTAAAACAAAATTAACAAAACAACAACAAAAAATAAGCTAAACATTGCAGTTAACACAAAGGGCATATTATATGGCTGAAAAATCAATAGGGCATTAACGATCTCTAAAACAATACATTGGGCAGGGGCAGATGGAGGGGAAGCGAGAGGCTACATTTTGAGGGCAGAACAGAAAAGGGCCCCTAGATTTAAACCCCCAGAGCGAAATGAGATAAATAATAATGTTACCTTCTTGATCCGTTTATCCACCGTCGTCGTCGTTACACGTGTTAATCTATTTAAACTGCTATCTTGAGGGCAGGGTTCCCCACTCCTGGTGCGCGTGCGCCATGTGGGGGAGGTCATATTCACAGTCTAAAAACAGTTAACTTTTTGATCTATTTTAAACTGTTACCTTGAAGAAGATTGTTCATTTGTGTTGTTGTCTTTTTGCTCCCTAGACGGATATGTCCGTTTTCTTTCCATCGCACTCGCCCAGGAGCCATTTCAGGGGAAAGATGACTTGAAGAGAAAGAAAAGGCGGGAAGCGTCCCTTTAACTGCAGCCTTAAAAAAAAAAATCCCCTCAGGCTGCAGTTAAAGGGACGCTTCCCGCCTTTTCTTTCTGTCCTCAGAGGCCTTAAAGTGCTGGGAGGTAGGAGGGCAGGAAGGAGCAGGTCTTAAGTTTCTTTTAAATCGCGCTTTCTTCCCGCTTCGTGACAAATCCTTGTATAAGAGGTAATTCTAACCGCCCCCGCCCCCCCCATTCTGTTGGTGAAGAATACGCTCCCTCGTTATGGGGGGAGAGGAGAGCAGATCACAACAACCTTCTATAGCTGGGGAAACACGTCCCCCACCACCACAAACACACTTTGTATATTGGGGGGTGGGTCCTGGATCCATGAACAAGGAAGGGAAGCGCGCATATTAATGGAGTGGGGGGTGCCATCCCCTTACCAGTTTGGGGACCGTGTGGTAACTTTATTAATAGTAGCAGGAATGACCAAACGCCATTTTGAAAGGAAAACGGATAGGAACCCTTTATGAATAGGTGCTGGGGGTGGGGGGAGAGAGACAGAAAATCCCGAATTTGCAAGAGTTGAGAGGTATTTCTCACAGACTAGGAGGGGGGATGAGAGAAACCCACATAAATAAGTATGGCGCTAGCTAATAACTTTATTTGGGGTAAGGGATAGCTTTTTAACATGGGTCAGAGAGCTCATCTATAAAGCTGGAGTAACTTGTCTTGTTTGGGCAGGGATGATATTGTCTTTTTGTCTATACTGTACAGTATAGAAGAATTATCCCACATTTATTGGTGTTGGGGAGGAGGGAGGAGATACAGAAAGTAAAGGGGGGGTCATTTATAGCAGAAGGGAAGCTTATTTAAATCACTCCCCACTCCCATCCTCTCCAGGAGGATAAAGCAAAGTCCCCCTTAGTAGGAGTGTGAGGAACTAAACTGGACTAATTTATGGTTAGGGAGTGTGAGAAGATATTTCATATATGGGAGAGCTGATCACACATAATATCATCATTATGAGTTGGCATGTATTCCAGTGTCACAATTATTCAATATTTTAAGGCCTTGTTAAGCATCTTTCTAAGTCTATCCTTAAAATTGGTTTCTTGGTTTTGAGTAAGTTGATAATAACATTCTCTCCCTGCTTTTCCATTTCAGTTACAGGCACTTTGTTGCAAGGCCAGGAGTAAAGATGTATTTCTGTAGAAGAAACAATTTTATGGTGGTAGTTTCTTTTCTAATTGTACTGTCCTTTGAAGCATACTTGTGGCTGATGCAAACGCCTTTGCTGCCACAAACAATACAGTCAACGGATCTCTGCAAAGGTGAGATTGCCAATGGTACAATAACAGCTTTAAAATATAATAAAACATTTATCATTTCACCGTATCATGATGACAGAGAAGGAAACCTAACTCGTGTGATCGCAGTAGTGCGCTACAAGAAAATACAGGACCTTTATTGTTGGTTTTGCTGTAGTCATGATGGCCACGTCTCCATAATAAGAGCAGCCATAGACATTCACTTGGATAGAACTGATTTCCCTTTTGGTCCAGCAGATATCGTGTGCTTGGAACCCAGAAAGTGCTCTCCAAAATACGTGTCAATTCATTCATCTCCTAGAGGGAAAATCGACAAGCTACCAAGGTTTGAAATTAAGAACCGTGTGCCCGAGGATTCATTTTCTGCTGAATTCACCCTTTGTCTCCCTGTCATGTTTGGAAACTACAGCAATGTCTTGCAGTTCATACAAAGCATGGAAATGTATAAAATTCTTGGTGCACAGAAAGTGCTGGTCTACATGTACAACTGCAGCCAACTCATAGAGAAAGTATTGGAATTTTATGTTGCAGAAGGCACCATTGATATTATTCCATGGCCAATTTTCTCATATGTTAATTTCTCTTCTTTCTGGTATTCTTCCAAAGACTGGGACTATGGGAAAGCTACAGTCCTAAATGATTGCATCTACCGCAATATGTACAGGAGCAAATATGTGGTTCTTAATGACATTGATGAAATTATCCTACCCATTAAGCATCTGAGTTGGAAAACAATGGTAAGCGATCTTGAGGATCGAAATCCAGAGACAGGCATCTTCTTGTTTGAGAACCATTTATTTCCTCAGCATATCTTTTCCTCTACAGACACACTCAACATTTCATCCTGGAAAATGGTCCCAGGAACTAATATACTGCAGCATATTTACAGAGAGCCCATTAAACTGAAGTTTAGTAATCAGAGAAAGATGATCGTTAATCCAAGAGCAGTGGTTCAGACTTCAGTCCACACCATTCTCAAAGGTTATAGTAAGACGCTGGTAGTTCCCAAAGAGATTGCAATTCTTTATCATTGCAGACAGTATGTTGAAAAAGAGGTCCCTGGAAAATACCTCATTAGGGACACAACGATCTGGAGATACAATGTTTCTTTGATTAATAATGTTAACAACATACTTGAAAAACAATTCCCTAGAAAGAGTTCCAAGTTTAGATGGAATAAATTCTAGGAGGCATTGTAGCTTTTATAAACAGTTGTATTTTTACACATACAAAATTACTTAGTAACAAAGTACTGATACAATCCATATGCTAAATTTGTAGAACTTAATTCTACAATTAGAAATGTACAACCACCTGCTGTATGCTCAGTAAAGTTGTAAGGATTTTTTAAAAAAACATATTTCCCCCGGACATCAGTTTCTATTCACTGTTACCTGGACTTAAATCTACACTATAGATTGCCCTAAGGTCATACTCTTAGAACTGTCATGGCTTTCTTCAAAAAATCCTAGGAACTGTAATTCACCGACTGTTTCTCTATTCCTCTCGCTTTTCACTGTTTCGTTGCTTAACATCCTGTCCGATGAATAGTTTTGAAAAACTTGCTTATCATTTTGTGCAGTTTATTTGGTCCTAAATAAAGAATTTATCTGATGGTTTCGGATTTTCTTCTTTTTCCTCCAAACTGTGGCTGGAACTAATAATACAAGCTGTGGCAGAAACTCTAGGAGTCTCTCTGAGTGGAAAAAGAACTTGCAGGGTATGGGACCAAAAGCCCTTTCCTCTTGTTAGCCTTTACAACCCCACATCTCCATTCTGCATAACTCTTAAAAATGCAGGAACCCTTTCCTTCCTAGCCGCTCACCCTAGCAAATATGGTAATCAATTCTGTGTGTCCCTGCTGAGAGAGATTTCAGGAAAGGAGCCGGTCCAAATATCTCTAAAGAAGTGTGAAGCAGTTGGGGAGTGGCCTTAGCTCAGTAGCAGAGTATCTGGCACGTTGTGGGAGCCACAGTGCCTCATCCCCCTCCCCCTATCCTGGAAATTTAAAATTATGAGCACAGATCTCCAGATTGCATCTTTCTCAAACCAATCAAGCCAAATACGCTATTGGCTGAGAACATTCAGGAAGCTTGTACAGTACCTTCCTAAGAACTAGAAACAGGAAGCTGCCTTATACTGTGTAACAGAACTTATTGACACTTCGTATTGTCCTGCTGCTTTCTCCCATGGCAACTGCTATTTAGTGCTCAATCAGAGCAAACAGCAATTCGGGTTTTCCCTGGATTGTCATTTGTTCCAATCTATCACTAAAGAGTGGATTTTCCATTGGAAAGGATCTTGTCAGAGGGAAAACTGCTCCAACCTGCACCTAGAAAGCATGGTTCAAGTGGAAAACTGCTCTGACCCATGCTTTCTAAGCGCAGTACTGTGTGGACAAGTCTTTAGTCAGACCAAATCTAACCTGAGTTTGTCTATATTGACTGGCAGCAGATCTACAGGGTTTCAGGCAGGTGTTTTCCAAAGCCTTACCCTCCCACAAACATTTAAAAGGCTGTAGAATATTAATCATCCAAAGGCTCCAAGCGAACCTCTCTGGGGAGTCACTGCAGAAAAGACCTGTTCTCATGTTGCCACCCAAGGACATATTTCCTCTATCTCCTGACAAAGGTCATCATGCAAGGCGACCAAAGCAGTTTCTGTGCCAAAACCAGGCCTGAACCCTGATAGAAAGGGAGCTACAAAATCTGCTGCTTCCAAGAGCACCTGGATCTGGCCTTAGATTATTTCTCAGGTTATGTCTGTTTGTTTTAAAAGAGCAAATACTTCTGTGTGAACTAACCCACACAGAACATTCACTGTAGACATGCAGGGCACTCGTACTTCAGGCTTCCCATTTTGGCATCTGGATGGCCACTATCAGTGCTTTTTTCCTGGCGGAATACAGAGGTGCGCATACCCCTAGACATTTTGTGAATCTAAATTTGGCCTCATTGAGGGGCAGTATTTCGAAATGAGAGTACCCCTAAACTTTTTTTTTTTTTTTTAGAAAAACTGGCCACAGGATGCTGGACCAGATGGGCCATTCGTCTGATCCAGCAGGACTCTTCTTTTCCAGGCATTCCTAGTGCCTCTACAGAAAGGAGAGATTGGTCAATCACAACTGTTGTCACTTGCTTGCTATATTGCTTCCATGTATTTCTGTACTTGCATTGCAAAGTGGAGTGGATCTGGAGTGGCAAGGTGATACACGTATATTGAGAGTGTGTGAACATCTCTTTTCATTTGACATCTTCCTGCATAGCCAGGGTTATCTGCCAAGGGTGCAATAATCTAATGCAATAATCCAAGCCCTAGTATCAGCAGCAGAGGTTTGGGTGTGTGCATTTGTGTGGAAAGCATACAGAGGGAAAAGGAAGCATGGAAATTCCCGCCCCAGATCCATGTGAGTCATTGCCAGTGAGTTCTATTCTTCTCTTAGTTGTTGCTTAATATTGCTCTCTTTAAGCAACAGCATCCAAAACAGGTTAGAGTAGTTCTGGAACCCAGAACAAGTTTTGGCGGTCTGGCCTGTGTGAGAGAGTGTAAACACTTAAGAGATCCTAGTCTAGGCACTGATGGTGGAATGCATACGCTCCAACATTTCTCCAGTGAAAATAGGGACATCTAATTATACATCAGAAGGCTTCTCCCATATTTGATCTCACTATATACATAGATGTCATATGCACACCTACGTACATTGGTCCCCTTGAGCCAATTACACCACCTTCCACAGATAAATGGAATTAAATAAAAAATTATTTTATTTTTAAAGTTTTATTTATAATTTTTCATGATAACATAAACAAAGCAAAACATTGAATTAAACAACCCCCCCTTCCACGGTTCCTTCTGATTACCCCTTACTGCTGCATATTCTAGTCCAGGTTTTTCCCTTTCTCTATTTATATCAACATATATTTTACTGCTGGATTTACTCTAAACCTGCTAACGTTCTAACCAGTTTACAATGATTTTTCAAATATTCTACAAACATTTTTCAATCTTCCTTAAATACCCTTTCTTCTTGATCTCTTATTTGACTGGTTAGGCTTGCCAATTCTGCATATTGGATCATTTTCATCTGCCATTCCTCTGCTGTTGGTACTGCTCCCTTCCTTCATTTCTGGGCATATATTCTTCGGGCTGCTGTAGTTGCATAGAGAAGAAAATTATTTGGGTCTCTGGGACATCTGAGATACTCCTAAAAGAAAGGAAAAAGTTATAATTATGATAATATTAGTAATAATAATAATAATAATAATAATAATAATAATAGTAGTAGTAGTAGTAATAGAAACTGCGAGAATGAGCAGGAACATAGGTAAAGGTAAAGGTACCCCTGCCCGTACGGGGCAGTCTTGCCAGACTCTAGGGTTGTGCGCTCATCTCACTCTATAGGCCGGGAGTCAGCGCTGTCCGCAGACACTTCCGGGTCACGTGGCCAGCGTGACGAAGCTGCTCTGGCGAGCTAGAGCCGCACATGGAAACACTGTTTACCTTCCCGCTAGTAAGCGGTCCCTATTTATCTACTTGCACCCAGGGGTGCTTTCGAACTGCTAGGTTGGCAGGCGCTGGGACCGAGCAACGGGAGCGCACCCTGCTGCGGGGATTCGAACCGCCGACCATGCGATCCGCAAGTCCTAGGCGCTGAGGTTTCACCCACAGCGCCACCCGCGTCCCAGGAACATACCAGACAGTGAATCCTATTGAGCTCAGTGGGGCTTAGGTAAAGGTAAAGGTACCCCTGACCCTTAGGTCCAGTCACGGACGACTGGGGTTGCTCACTCATCTCGCTCTATAGGCCGAGGGGGCCGGTATTTGTCCTCAGACAGCTTCTGGGTCATGTGGCCAGCATGACTAAGCCGCTTCTGGAGAACCCGAGCAGAGAACAGAAACACCATTTACCTTCCTGCCGGAGCAGTACATAGACGTGCTTTCAAACTGCTAGGTTGGCAGGAGCAGGGACCGAGCAACGGGAGCTCACCCCATTGCAGGGATTCGAACCGCCGACCTTCTGATTGTCAAGTCCTAGGTTCTGTGGTTTAGACCACAGCGCCAATCATGTAAAAATGCTTTGGATTGCAGTGTAAGGCTGCCCAGTCTTTACCGAGTCACTAGGTAAAGTAATTTCGTTGTCCCCGAGAGGGGGCAATGACAATAAAGATTTATTATTATTATTATTATTATTATTATTATTAGGGAGTAAGCTCCATTTAATACAGTGGGACTTACTTCTGAGTAGATAGGGTAAGGCTCCATTTACAATAAAAGAATAAACACTTCATATGTTTCCTAAGAAATGGTTGGCAGTTGAAGCATTGCAATTAAAGAATTTATAGTGGAATGGTGACATTTTCCTTTGAAATTGTAGGAAGGACTTTGCATGCCTTAATTTGGCACAGGTATTTTATTTTCGTTATAAAAACAAATATACCCTACCCCTACCCCACCCCCCCCGCTTCACTTTAATTGTTCTCCGAGACATGGAGGGGGAGAAAAAGGCAAACTGGGACATTCTGGGATCAGACGCTTCTGTAATTCTGGGACTGTCCTTGGAAAATTGAGACAATGATTCCATGTCCTGTTTTGCCAGAACAAAGATGGCAACCTTATACCTAACACACTCTGGACACTTACTCAGAAACAGACTGGCAGCTGGCCAAGATGTTTAAGAGTTTCACCATTCTGAGGGCAGGGAAATCCTAGAGCCAGACTTTGTGTGTGTGTTAAGTGACTAGGAAATGCATAGAAACGTATGGGATGAACGAATAACCCATGGGAACACTTAAACAGCCCAGAAGCAAATAAGCTTGAACACAGGAAAAATGCTCATTATCATATAAGCATCCTGCAAACAAATCAGAACAAATTATCCATAAACAGGCCATCTGGAGAAAGTCCCAAGAACTGAAAATATGACCCCCATTCAGCTGGTCCCAGTGAACAATCTAGCATCTGTGTGGATGCTTCTGAATGGTTTGAAATCTCCTCCCAGTTTATTTATAAATAATATTTATAGACTGCACCTTGTCCAAAATGTAATTTGAAGGTGTAACTCGGTGGCAGACCTGAATCTGGCATGTTGCAGTCATTTAATCTGTGGGTTTCCAGAACATGAGAACCACTTTCATCCTTTGGTAATTTGTTATTACCTAACAGCACTTCTTATTTGCGTGGATCAAGCTTCAGTTCATTCACCCAAATTGAGCTCATTACTGGTTCCAAACAGCTGCTCAGGACAGGCAGGGTGACACCTGGATTAGATGAAAAGGAGAGAGGGAGAGATCAGGAAAATGTGAACTGCACACTGAAAGCTCTCCCATCTAATTCAGTTCATGATGCCCAGGTATGTCTCTTCTCTCTCCCTTTTCTGGGTCAACATCGCAGTAGGATTGTGAATCACAGCTAGACTTTCCTTCAAAGAACAGCAGATTATGATCTCCTTTCCTCAGCCACTTGTTAGGCTTGTTTTTCCACTAAACTCAAATTTTACATCATGCTAGCTGTTCCTGCTAAAATAATTTGCATACTGTGATGCGTCTCTGGATCTTCTCATCTCCTCCTACTTTTCTCCTGCGATCAACAAGACAAGACATCAGACTATTGGCTGATGGTCTTATACATATTTTTGGGATAGATTGGAAGAGCTGGGGATTCTTTGCATTAACTTTTCTGATCCAGGAAATGTTTTTGAAACATGCTTGCTCTAGGGGATTTTCTGGTTTTTTATTTGTAGGGTGAAAAGGAGGAGGGAAATAAACGCTTGGCACTTTCCTGTGTGACCTGAAGACAAAAGCAGGTAGTGTGTCCCATTTTACCTTTGTCTTGTTGTGCTAAATGTGTTAATTACGCTCCTTGGTGGTCTCTGAAAAACATTTTAAAAATGTGCTTTGCTTAATGGTAGTAACATTTTAATAATATATGTAGGAAGTACATAAACCTGGATCTTTCAGAAGACATTAGGAGTTACTTGAAGCTGTTTGGAGGGTTTTATCTTTTGCTGAGGATTTTTTCTTCTCCGGTAATTGCTGTTTTCACTGATATTTTTTATTAATTAATTAATTTTGCTGCTATGCATGTTATAGAACTGAAATCTTTGTGTGTGTCTCATCTGCTTACTTATTTAGTATAAATATGATCCTTTAGGACGCGGGTGGCGCTGTGGGTAAAACCTCAGCGCCTAGGGCTTGCTGATCGAAAGGTCGGCGGTTCGAATCCCCGCGGCGGGGTGCGCTCCCGTTGCTCAGTCCCAGCGCCTGCCAACCTAGCAGTTCGAAAGCACCCCCGGGTGCAAGTAGATAAATAAGGATCACTTACTGGCGGGAAGGTAAACGGCGTTCCGTGTGCTGCTCTGATGCTGGCTCGCCAGATGCAGCTTTGTCACGCTGGCCACGTGACCCGGAAGTGTCTCTGGACAGCGCTGGCCCCCGGCCTCTTGAGTGAGATGAGCGCACAACCCTAGAGTCTGTCAAGACTGGCCCATACGGGCAGGGGTACCTTTACCTTTACCTTTATGATCCTTTACAACCTCTGTGCTACTGACTCTCAAACTATGGGATTGTTGAAATACATACAGTGGAACCTCAGGTTGCAGATGTAATCCATGATGGAGGAACGTCTGCAACCCGCAGCGTTCGCATCCTGAAGCGCTGTGCTGGCGCGGGCACGATTTGACACTTCTGCGCATGCGTGAGCCGTGAAACCCGGAAGTAACCTGTTCCGGTACTTCTGGGTTTCCTGCGGTCCGCAATCCGAAAACGCGTAACCTGAAGCATCCGTATCATGAGGTTTGACTGTACAAATATATACAGCAAAAATTAATCTATTTTAGTCAAGCCACTAGACCCAATTTTTTAAAGCAATGCAGACTAAAGTTGCTTCTGCCCCCTCCCCCCCCCCCGATTAGGAGCCCTGAAGCTTAAGCTTCATTAGTTTCATAGTAGATCCACTTGTGTGAGTGTGTGTGTGTGTAGACAGATGATAGATAGATCGATTATAGAAAAATTATTATATTTCTATTATTTATCCCAACAAAATATATAAAAACACAGTAAAAGCTCAAACATCAAAAACTTCCCTATACCAGTGGCTGCCTTCAGATGTCTTCTAAAAGTTGTGTAATTCTTTATCTCCTTCACATCTGATGGGAGGATGTTCCACAAGGTGGGTGCCACTATGAATAAGGCCCTCTGCCTGGTTCATAGCTCCAGTTACAGATAGGTAGCCGTGTTGGTCTGCCATAGTCAAAACAACAAAAAAATTTTTTTAATTTTTTAAAATTCCTTCCAGTAGCACCTTAAAGACCAACTAAGTTAGTTCTTGGTATGATACCAAGAACTAACTTAGTTGGTTGGTCTTTAAGGTGCTACTGGAAGGAATTTTTTTTGTTTTGGTTCATAGCTCTCAACCTTTCCCTTTTTTAAAGAGAAATTCCCTTATTCCGAATAGGATTCCTTGCAAGAAAAGGGAAAAGTTGACAGCTATGGCCTGGTTCCCTGTAGCTTCACTTCTCGCAGGTAGGAAACCACCAGAAGGCCCTTAGAGCTGGATCTCAGTGTCTGGGCTGAACAATGGGGGTGCAGACATATGGGGTATATGGGGCCAAGGCTGTTTAGGGTTTTAAAGGTCAGTACCAACACTTTGAATTGTGCTCAGAAATGTACATGCGCTTCAACATTACTCTGATGAAAATAAGGACATCCCATTCCATAATTATAATTTTACTATTTATTCCCCACACATCTTATTGGGTTGCCCCCAGCACTCTGGGCAGCTTCCAACATATATAAAAACATAATAAAACATAAAAATTTAAATACATTCCCCATACAGGATTACCTTCAGATGGCTTGGGGGTTGGCTAACTCCATGTTGTTGTTGTTGTTGTTGTTGTTGTTTAGTCGTTTAGTCGTGTCCGACTCTTCGTGACCCCAGGGACCAGAGCACGCCAGGCACCTCTGTCCTCCACTACCTCCCGCAGTTTGGTCAAACTCATGCTGGTAACCTCGAAAACACTATCCAACCATCTCGCCCTCTGTCGCCCCCTTCTCCTTGTGCCCTCCATCTTTCCCAGCATCAGTGTCTTCTCCAGGGAGTCTTCTCTTCTCATGAGGTGGCCAAAGTACTGGAGCCTCAGCTTCACGATCTGTCCTTCCAGTGAGCACTCAGGGCTGATTTCCTTAAGAATGGATGCGTTTGATCTTCTTGCAGTCCATGGGACTCTCAAGAGTCTCCTCCAGCACCATAATTCAAAAGAATCAATTCTTCGACGATCAGCCTTCTTTATGGTCCAGCTCTCACTTCCATACATCACTACTGGGAAAACCATGGCTTTAACTATACGGACCTTTGTTGGCAAGGTGACGTCTCTACTTCTCAAGATGCTGTCTAGGCCTGTCATTGCCCTTCTCCCAAGAAGCAGGCGTCTTTTAATTTCGTGGCTGCTGTCACCATCTGCAGTGATCATGGAGCCCAAGAAAGTAAAACCTCTCACTGCCTCCATTTCTTCCCCTTCTATTTGCCAGGAGATGATGGGACCAGTGGCCATGATCTTCGTTTTTTTGATGTTGAGCTTCAGACCATATTTTGCGCTCTCCGCTTTCACCCTCATTAAAAGGTTCTTTAATTCCTCCTCACTTTCTGCCATCAAGGTTGTGTCATCTGCATATCTGAGGTTGTTGATATTTCTTCCGGCAATCTTAATTCCAGCTTGGGATTCATCCAGCCCAGCCTTTCGCATGATGTATTCTGCATATAAATTAAATAAGCAGGGAGACAAAATACAGCCTTGTCGTAGTTCTTTCCCAATTTTGAACCAATCAGTTGTTCCATATCCAGTTCTAACTGTAGCTTCTTGTCCCACATAGAGATTTCTCAGTAGATAGATGAGGTGATCTCCCATTTCTTTAAGAACTTGCCATAGTTTGCTGTGGTCAACACAGTAAAAGGCTTTTGCATAGTCAATGAAGCAGAAGTAGATGTCTTTCTGGAACTCTCTAGCTTTCTCCATAATCCAGCGCATGTTTGCAATTTGGTCTCTGGTTCCTCTGCCTCTTCTAAATCCAGCTTGCACTTCTGGGAGTTCTCGATCCACATACTGCTTGAGCCTTCCTTGTAGAATTTTAAGCATAACCTTGCTAGCGTGTGAAATGAGTGCAATTGTGCGGTAGTTGGAGCATTCTTTGGCACTGCCCTTCTTTGGGATTGGGATGTAGACTGATCTTCTCCAATCTTCTGGCCACTGCTGAGTTTTCCAAATTTGCTGGCATATTGAGTGTAGCACCTTAACAGCATCATCTTTTAAAATTTTAAATAGTTCAGCTGGAATACCATCACTTCCACTGGCCTTGTTATTTACAGTGCTTTCTAAGGCCCATTTGACTTCACTCTCCAGGATGTCTGGCTCAAGGTCAGCAACCACACTACCTGGGGTGTACGAGACATCCATATCTTTCTGGTATAATTCCTCTGTGTATTCTTGCCACCTCTTCTTGATGTCTTCTGCTTCTGTTAGGTCCTTACCACTTTTGTCCTTTATTATGGTAATCTTTGTACGAAATGTTCCTTTCATATCTCCAATTTTCTTGAACAGATCTCTGGTTCTTCCCATTCTGTTGTTTTCCTCTATTTGTTTGCATTGCTCGTTTAAGAAGGCCTTCTTGTCTCTCCTTGCTATTCTTTAGAAATCTGCATTCAATTTCCTGTATCTTTCACTATCTCCCTCGCATTTTGCTTGCCTTCTCTCCTCCGCTATTTGTAAGGCCTCGTTGGACAGCCACTTTGCTTTCTTGCATTTCCTTTTCATTGGGATGGTTTTCGTTGCTGCCTCCTGTACAATGTTACGAGCCTCCATCCATAGTTCTTCAGGCACTCTGTCCACCAAATCTAAATCCTTAAACCTGTTCCTCACTTCCACTGTGTATTCATAAGGGATTTGACTTAGATTGTATCTTACCGGCCCAGTGGTTTTCCTACTTTCTTCAGTTTAAGCTTGAATTTTGCTATAAGAAGCTGATGATCTGAGCCACAGTCAGCTCCAGGTCTTGTTTTTGCTGACTGTATAGAGCTTCTCCATCTTTGGTTGCAGAGAATATAATCAATCTGATTTCGATGCTGCCCATCTGGTGATGTCCATACCCTCCAACATTTCTCCAGTGAAAATAGGGACATCCTAAGGAAAAGCCGGGCATTCCGGGATCAAATCAGAAACCAGGACAGCTTCTCTAAATCAGGGACGTCCCTGGAAAATAGGGACTATTGGAGTGTCCGAATGTACTGGGAGCCAATGCAGATCCTTTAGGATTGTTGTTCTATGGTCCTGGCGGCTGCTCCCAGTCACCAGTCTAGCTGCTGCATTCTGGATTGTAGTTTCCAAGCTGTCTTCAAAGATAGCCCCACATAGAGCACATTGCAGTAGTCCGATAACCAGAGTGTGTACCACTTTGGCGAGACAGGGTGCAGGCAGGTAGGGTCTCAGCCATTGTACCAGGTGGAACTAGTAGACAGCTACCCTGGACACAGAATTAACCTGAGCTTCCATGGACAGCTACATGGGTGTAACTAAGGGGGTGCTGGGGGCAGCCCCCCGCCCCAGATCAAGTAAAACTATCTAACCGGCCAATCATGTTCCCCTTAACCAAGTCCTGTCCCCCCAACAAAAATCCTGGCTACACCCATGGACAGCTAAGTCCAAAATGACTCCAAGGCTGAGCATAGTTATTCAGGACCAGGGAGTCCCCCACACCTACCCATCCTGTGTCCCCCAGAAACAGTCCCACCATCCATCCTCCAACAGCATCC